GAGAAGAGAAGGAGGGAGAAAGGAAGGGGGAAGGAAGGAAGGGGGAAGAAGGGAAAAGGGAAAGAAAGGAAGAAAAAAAGAGGAAAGAGGAGAGAAAGAAGGGAGAGGAAAGAAAGGGGGGGGAGGGAGAGGAAAAGGGGGGAAAAAGGAGGAGAAAAGGAAGGAAAAAGAAGGAAGAAAGAGAAAAAAAGCAAAAGAAGAGAAGAAGACAGAGGGGAGGGGAAAGGAAGAAAGAGAGAAAAAGAGAGAGAGAAGGAAAAGGGGGGAAAAGAAAGGAAAAGGGGGGGAGGGGGGGGAGAAGGGGAAAGAAAAAAAAGAGAGGGGAGAGAGAGAAGAAGGGGAAGGAAAAGAGGGGAAGAGAGAAGAGAGAGGGGGAGAGAGAGAGGGAGGGAAAAGAAAAGGGAGGAGGGAGAGGAAAGAGAAGAAAAAAGGAGGAGAAAAAAGGAGGAAAAGAAGGAAGAAAAAAGAAAAAAAGAGAGGAGAGAGAAAAGGGAAAAGAGGGAGGAGGGGGAGGGAGGGAAAGAAGGAAGAAGAAAAGGAAAGGAAAGAAAAGGGAGGAGGGAGAGAAGAGAAAGGAGAAAAGGAAGAGAAAAAGGAAGAAGAAAGGAAGAAAGAGAGGAAGGAAGAAGGCGGAAAAGAGGGAAAAGAAGGAAAAGAGAAAAAGGAAAAGAAGAGAAGAGGGGAAAGGGGAGGAAGGGAGGGAAGAGAAAAGGGAGGAGGGAGAGGAAAGAAAAGAAAAAAGGAGGAGAAACGGGAAGAAAGAGGAGAGAAAGGAAGAAAGGGGAAAGGAGGAGAGGAGAGGAAGGAAGGAAAAGAAGGAGGAAGGGGAGAAGGAGGAAGGAGGGAGAGGAGAGGGAGGAGGGGGAGGGAGGGAGGGAGGGAAGAGGGAAGAGGGAGGGGGAAGGAGGGAAGGAAGAAAAAAGGGAGGGAGAAAAAAGAGGGGGGAGAGGGAAGGGGGAAAGAGGAGGAGAAAAAAGGAAGAAAAAAGGGCGAAAAAGGGAGGAGAGAAAGGGAGAAAGAGAGAGAGGGGGGGAAAGGGGAAAAGAAGGAAGGAAAAAAGAAGAAAAAAGAGGAGAGGAGGGGAAGGGAGAAAAAGAGAGGAGGGAGGGGAGGGGAAGAGAGGAAAAGAGAAAAAGAGGAAAGAAAAAAGAAAAAAGAGAGGGAAGAGAAGGAGAAGAAGAAAGGAAGAAAAGGAAGAAAAGGAAGAAAAAGAAGAAAAGGCAGAAAAGGCAGAAAAGGAAGAAAGAGGAGAGAAAGGGAGGGGAGGAGAAAGGGAGGGGGGAGAAGAAGGGGAGGAAAGGAGGAAGGGGGGGGAAGGGAGGGAAAAAAGGAAAGAAAAGGAGGAGAAGAGGGGAGAGGAGGAGGAAAGGAAGGAAAGGAAAGGAAAAAAGAGGAAAGAAAAGAGAGGAGGAAAAGAAAAAGAAAAGAGGAGGAAAGGAAGAAAAAAAGGGAGAGGGGAAAAGAAGAGAAGAGGGAAAAAGGGAGAGGGAGAGAAAAGGGGGAAGGGGAGGGGGGGAAAAAGAAAGAAGAAGAAAAAGAGGAGAGAAAAGAGGGGAGAAGATTAAAAAGAATATTGATAAAGATAAGATAGAAAGTAAATAAAAATATAGAATTAAAAAATAATAAATAAGAAAATAGAATTATTAAGTAATTTTATATTATTTTATAATATTTATATTTTTTTTTAATTTTTAAAATATTAAAAAAAGTTTTTTTTATTAATAAATTAAGGATGTGTCGCCCCTCGGGGTAGCCCCAGTAAATATATTAATTGATATAATTCCCAAATGCGGTCCAAAGCACGTATAATGGAGGCGATATGGGAAGGGGCAGGGAAAGAGAACAGAGGGGGAAGAAAGAGGGCAGGAAGAGGGCGGAAGGAGAAGAAGAAAGAAAGAAAGAAAAGAAAGAAAAGAAAGAAAAGAAAGAAAAGAAAGAAAAGAAAGAAAAGAAAGAAAAGAAAGAAAAGAAAGAAAAGAAAGAAAAGAAAAGAAAAGAAAAGAAAGAAAAGAAAGAAAAGAAAGAAAAGAAAGAAAAGAAAGAAAAGAAAGAAAAGAAAGAAAAGAAAGAAAAGAAAGAAAAGAAAGAAAAGAAAGAAAAGAAAGAAAAGAAAGAAAAGAAAAGAGAGGAAGAGAAGGAAGAAAAGGGAGGGAGGGGGAGGGAGGGGGAGGGAGGGGGAGGGAGGGGGAGGGAGGGGGAGGGGAGGGAGGGGGAGGGGGGGGAGGGAGGGGGAGGGGGGAAGAGAGAAGAGAAAGAAAAGGAAGAAAGGGGGAAAAGGAAAAGAGAGAGAAGAGAAAGGGGAGGAGGGGAGACGATTAATATTTACGTAATATGTATTAATTATTTTATTAATTATTTTAAAAAAAAATTATAATAATTTTTTAATTTATTTAATAACGGTTTTTATTTTAAATAAATATATTAAATTTATACAAAAATTTTATAATTTTATATATTTTATATATTATTTTTTATTATTTTATTTATATTTTGTTTCATTTATATTTATATTTTTATTAATATTTTTAAAAAAATAATATTTAAAAATTATAAAAATTTCATTTGATTACAATACAAATAGGGTATATGCATAGGGTTGGGTACAGTTTTAAATAGCCGTGTATGGTGGCTTGTAGTGGCTTGTGGTGGCTTGTAGTGGCTTTCATCACGTGCAAAGTGGATGTGCTGTTTCTTTAGTCGATCTGTACTGTGTCTTTAGAGTTACTGTGATTACTAGCAGTAATCGGCGTAGGGGCACACGCAACTAAAACCACGTGTGCGAATAGACTTCATTTTTCACAATATTTAATTTCTGATATGTGACAGTTTGACGTCGATGAATTGACCGTTTTGTGGATCATCATGGGTCTCCTGCGCGTAAGTGCATTATACGCGGGATTTTCCATCCATGGTTACCTACCTGTTGGACATGGTCAGGGGTAGGCGACTCCGCAGATGACGGTTTTTACTCTTTTCAATGTTCTTTTTCAGCCTCCTACTGCAGCCCCAACATACCCCCAAACCCCCGAAATGGGGCCCCACGGTTACGACTTTATGCGTTATGACGTATGTTCTAAGCTTAAGTCTCGTGCTGCGCTACGTCGCAATAGCCTTATTGAGCTTAGTTTGGGTAGAAACGCAAGAGATGCAGAAAATGTAATATTTCCCAATGCGCTTACTACGTAGTACTTACAAAGGGGTTTGGAATTATTTTGTCGAACTCGACATAGAAATGCAGTAATGTGGTTTCTCCGAATGTTTCCGGCTTGATGCGGAGGAACCCCAAAGTTCTTTGCATGTGTAAGTTTGTGGAGAGATCTTGGGGTGTTGGAATGCAGACGGCTACCTAACTTTTCCGTGCCTATGGGGAGATTTAGGAGCCTATGAAGGTCCAGAAGTGGAAATAATTAAGCGGGTATCATTCTCGGCAAACGGGAACAACTTTCTTTTTTTTAGCGAGTTTAGAATAACGGTCGTCTTATGACATATATCTCGGCGTTACGAGGCGCATTAGTATGAGGCAAGCCTTAATCAGTTAAGCTTATTGGCTAAGGGACGACTGTGGCAATAACGCCGCTCATAAAGCCGTTAATGACCTGAACTTTGAACTTGATTAAATGCGGCAAGATCGAGTCACCTGATTCCGCACATTCGGGCTTTTGAGGAATTCTTGCGTGGGATGACGCCGAAGTTTAATCCCTGTCTCTCCAGACTCTGGGCCCCAGTCCAGCTGTTACACCCCAGCTACTACCCCCACAGCCGTTACGCGAACCTTATTTAATTGGACAATTCAACTTTACAGTCAGACAGTCAGTCTGTCTCGAAAAGTAATGGCGCAGTCTTGGCATTTAACCCTTCTTAAAAAATCACCAATTATATAAGTAAAATAAATAGTAATAAAATTATAATATATATCGTTTTATTTGCAAAAGGCCATTATACCTTTTTATTATTTTAGTTTTTTTATTAGGATAATAATGCGCTAAAAATATAACTTTAAATATATATTTTTAATAACGTTTTAATATACCATATTAATATACTTATAATTCCACCATTTCTATAGAAATAAAATTATAAAAAATACTTATAATAATAATAAAAGCCAAAAAGTCAATAGGTATTTTTTTTCTATTTTTTGTTGTCTTTTTTTGTGCTTTTTTTTACATATATTATATGGTGTTGTTTTTGGAAGGAAATGCCAAGACTGCGCCATTACTTTTCGAGACAGGCTGACAGTGTACAAAAACTTGATGAAGCACAAGATCATGTATGATAGTAAAACCCCTGTTGGATTATCCATTACCGGCCTGGCATATTACCTATTATGTCACTCGAAACTGTACAAATCACCTATGCGGCTTAGCCAAATATGGGGATACAATACTAGACATATGTACTTCAAGGTACTTTGCAAGTCCATTGTACATAATTGTATATAAAGAACATCTGCCCACTCGTACTTCATTGTTCCGCTTTCCGCTTTGACATTACCTCTAAACCACCTACTTTTCAAACCTCTCCTCGTCTGTCTCCAGAGTACGAATTAAGGAGCAGACATAATTCTGTAGTTGCTCATAACAGGATGGCAGTATCACGAATAAAAGAGCCCTACTTTGGGCTGAAGGGTAAATGGCTGACCTTCTGGATCACTGTAAGTTAATACCACCTATTTCCTAATAGAAGAAATGGGGCTGATAATCGTAGCTCGCTTGCGCTACAGACATGACCCTTTTTGGGTATGATCAAGGTGTTTTCAGTAAGTAGCCATCGTACGAATGCTACATAAGCATATCGGTATTAACGCCTTGGCTTTAGGTGGTGTTGTTATTTCGAAAGATTATCTGGACGTCCACAACCTAAATGGCCCGGAGAATACAAGCATTCTATCAATCATTACCTCAATTTATACTATCGGTTGCTTCTTGGGTGCTATCACCGCATTTTATATCGGAGAGACGATAGGCCGAAAGAAAACTGTGCTTGTCGGTACAGCAATCATGAGTGTCGGTGCTATTCTCCAGACGAGCTCTTTCAGCGTTCCGCACATGATAGTCGGTCGTATCGTTACAGGGTATGCACCACTTGGACTTCATACGAATTAGTCATTAAACTGACCTATGGAATAGTATCGGCAACGGAATCAACACCGCTACTGCCCCTGTTTGGCAAACAGAAACCTCCAAGGTGGACAACAGAGGAATGCTTGTCATGCTCGAGATGGGCTTGAACATCTTCGGGTTTTCCTTGAGTAATTGGATTAACTATGGAATGTCATTCGTTGGAGGTTCCGTCGGATGGCGGTTCCCCCTGTCCCTCCAGCTCGTTTTCTGCATCGTTCTCTTCTCTACTGTCCCATGGCTACCAGAGTCGCCCAGGTGAGTGTTTTGTCTACATAAAAGCTTCTTAATACGTACGGTTTACTAACTCTGGCTACAGATGGCTGTTTGCACATGGTCAGGAGGACGAAGCGATCAAGATCTTGGCGGATTTGGAAGATAAACCGATTGATGATCCCTACATCGTCGCCGAGCGCGAAGAAATCGTCTTTAGTATCGAGTACGAGCGCCAAAACGCGATTAACTGGGGTGATCTGCTTCGAGGTCGTACTGAATCCGGAACTAAAACAGTTCGCCGACTGATCCTTGGCTCTGGTACTCAAGCTATGCAACAATTTGGTGGCATTAATGGTATGTACAAGAGCACATCTTATTCTCAATCCGTAGCTTATTCTATACAAATGCTAACTATGAGGTAGTGAGTAACCTAACTCGATTTTCAATGTCAATTCCCTCCGCTTCAGCATAAATTCAGAAAGAATGCACACTATAATATACCCCTTACACCAACTATTTTTGTAGGAAAGTTTTAGAATACTAACATAAACCAGATCATGTCCTACTACCTTCCTACCGTGTTGATCGAGTCAGTCAAGCTAGACGAGAGCATGGCCCGTCTTATTGCTGCTTGTGCATCGGTCGCTTACCTCTTCGCGTCTTTGGTGGCAGCGCCTCTTGTGGAAAGAGTTGGTCGCCGTATCATGATGATGGTTTCCACTGCAATCCAACTGGTCTGCTTCTTGCTTGTTACCGTCCTACTCCACTTCGCAGAGAAGCCTGGCTACCTTCACCAGATTGAAGTATCTAAGGCTTCCGTCGTATGGTTCTTCATCTACTACATGGGTTTTGGTTTAGGAATGTTGGGTATCCCGTGGCTGTACCCAACCGAAATCAACTCGTAAGTCCAAGATTCCATCTCGGAAATAACAACAACTTGCGAGATCTTCAAAATTAGGAACAATTGCTGACTGTTTATAGTCTTCCTATGCGAACCAAGGGAGCTGCTGTTGCTACCATGACGAACTGGATCACAAACTTCATCGTCGTCGAAGTGACACCCATCGGTATCCAAAAGCTAGGCTGGAAGTTCTACATCATCTGGACAGTGACAAACGCGCTATTCTTGCCCATCATATGGCTCTTCTACCCCGAGACGGCCAACCGTACTCTAGAGGACTTAGATGCTTACTACCGCGACAACCCACCCTTGGTCCTCCACAAAGACCGCGACTCTACCTCTGTCCGCCGACCCGAGAGGTTCGCCGAGGCGCAAGGCCGGGATATCGAAGAAGCTACCAAGCACCTGGAGAGGCACACCTCTGTTGTCCACGACGAAGGGGGTTTGAGCAGTTAAGCACCCGTTTGTTTTACGCATCCTCGGTCGCGGGGTATCATTGAGTACACGGGGTTCCTTATGAGGTATATCGGTGCGTCTTGTTCGTATGGGGTTCACTATGCAATGGTGTTTTGGGAATTTATAGCTGTATACCATAGGGTATACCATAGGGATACGTGCGCATGACTTGAGTTTCTGGGCTAGATATGATACCATTTCCGTCCATAGCAATTAAAATGGACTTTATAAAATAAACGATATACTTGTTATTTTACTGTGTTAGTGTCGAGTAGGAATTTTTAGTGATTGTATTTCGATGATGAAATTATCAACGTTTGTAGGGAGTATTATTTGATATGAGACGTGAAGATTCTATTGAATTATAACAAGGTTGTCAGGGTATAAGTGATACTAGTATGATACTTGTATGAATTAGGCATAGATCCACATAGAATAGATATATAAGGGGCGCTGCGCGCCCCTCGAAAAATAGTAGAAGGTCAAGCGTTAATAGATTTATACTATTACACGGCTATTATATAGCAGCTTCGCTGCTGCTTCTATCGTTTATTTTACGTATGACAGCCATCAAGGGGTATCTCTGACACTAGACATCCTAGATTACCTACCTAGACCAAACGTTCCTGCTGCTTAGATCTTGAAGATGTGAATTTACAATCAACGATACTCGAATGAGATTAAGGGAATATATGCTGTCTAGATTCATGTTCCGACCTACGCACCCTCTTGTCCCACTCCGAAATCCGTAATCATATTTTCCAAGTCGTGGCTTCCTGCATCTCTTGCAATATCCAAGGCTGTCTTTCCATCATTGCCCTTGATTGAAGTGTCTGCCCCTGCTTTTAATAGCTGTCCTAATACATGTGGATGTCGCATAACCGTTGCTAGTATCAATGGTGATTTGTTATCCTTGGCGACTGCATTGACATTGGCTCCTCGAGAAATCAATTCTCGTACCACGGAACTGTGTCCCTCTAAGGCCGCTATAGCTAGGGGGGTCAAGTCGTCTACGTTCCTAGTATCCAACTCAGCCTTACTATCTAAGAGCTCCTTTGCGCTCTCTAGTTGACCAAAGAATGCAGCCCAGTGCAAAGGGGATTGCAAAGAAGGCCTTTCACCTTTCATAGCTGCTCCGCCATTAATCAGCGATCTGATCGCTGAAGAACTGCCCTTGTGGACGCTATGCTGAGCCATGTACCTCGTATAACTTGCTTTATCGAATTCGCCTTGTATATTTTTCAAGAAGTACGCCGGCGCCCCGATGGCAGCGAGATCTAAGGGTGACATTCCATTTGAACCTCTTATGTTTACCTGGGCGCCTTCTTCGAGCAGCATATTAATGATGCCTGCATTCCTATAAATAGCTGCAAGGTGAAGTGTCTGCCAGCCATTCAAATTGTAGTTCCATGCAACACACGCCGGACCACTGCGCTTTATCATTGCTTTGACGATATCTTCCTGTTCCTTGATGATGGCAAACACAAGAGGGGTGAGGCCCCACCAACTGCGCTTGAGAATGTCCGCCCCAAGTTCTATTAGTCTTCTAGTAGTGTCCATATGTCCTTTTTCAATTGCCCAATGTAACGGAGCCCAACCTTGATTCGGGTGTCTTGCTTGGGCGACGTGAAAGTTCGCAAGGCTAACAAATCGGGCGCAATAATTCATAGCATTTGCACTCATGTATCGGGTCCGATCAGATGCAGTGTAGTTCTTGTCATCGATATCAATATCCGCTCCTTTCTTCACCAGATATGTGACGACTTCTGTGCATCCATGACGCGCCGCTGAGGCTAAAGGTGTCAAGCTGTAATCATTTTTCGCGTCTATAGCAACTCCCACATCGAGGAGGATCTGGACGATCTTCCAGTCATTGGTTTTGACTCCTTCATGCAAAGGATGCGGAGTATCCCAGTCGAATTTGAAATCGCGACGTTGCTTATGTTTCTCAAAGGACGAGACGGAGGAGGTTAACAGAGATTCTAATTGTGAAGGATGGTCCACGCGATCAGATCCTCTCCCATTTAGACCTGTCTCGATAGAAAGCTGAAGTACCGGTCCTATACTGTCAAGTCCATACTTCGTTTTACCTAGCTCCTCATCAGTTGGGCAACACGCGAGACAGTGTCTCCACCAATATTTGGCCGCATATAACAAAAGCGGAAATGGCTTGTAACGTGCATAGTCTTCGTGATCGCTCAAATTTGATTGATTGCCCGACTTAATATTCGAACGGAAGTCTAGGCCCAAGTTGTGCCCCGCCAACTTATTGACTTCCAGGTCAAAAACTTGAGCACTAACACGTTCATAGTAATGAATATAGGATAAGGACGAACTTAAGATAAATCGATGGGCATCGAGCTTGTCTAGGTGAAATTCAGGCGGTAAGGTATGTGGTCCTTCCAGGTATTCTTGAACGGTAAAATGAGAAAAGGAAACTCTGCCATCGTTATCTTCAAGAATCTCAGAATCGTCGTCGACGTTGGAAACCATAACCAAGCCGGCCAAAATAGATCGAATGTTGCGGATGTTGGGAAATCTCTCACGCGGATCGAATGAAATAGATTCACACTCCGCGTCTTGCTCGTTCCGAAATACGGCAAGTTCAGCGACCTCACTGAAAAGGAGTGGCCGCTTGGAATAGGCAAGCCACTTGATGATGGATATTACTGGCTGGTGGTGACGACGGTGGATCCTAGTCAGCATGACCTTATATGTCTCTTCAAGCCCCTCAGGCAGTTCTTCAAGGGCCTTATTTACTTCGACCGGTCGTCCGCATGACTGGAGGTTGATAATTTGGAGTGCAACCCAACGAAAGACACCACCGGCTTTCTCAATAAGCTTTTGTGTCACTCGAGCTTTCAAATCGTCTGTCCACCAATTATAGGTCCGCGAACTTAGCTCAAGGTCGAGGTAGCTCTTGATGTCTCGGTTAACTTTTTCAGATTCCATCATGATCCTGGTTTCATGCTGCATTTCCCGTTCGATCATATCTAGCCACCTACTAGTTATCATTGTACAATTGTTGCCATGCGGATACTTCCGAAATTCGTCCAGGTAGTTTAGAACCGATGCGCAGTTGTCTGGGCAAGAACACTCATCTAATGCATCAACCACGATGTAAGTTTGGGGTGACTCCTTAAGTAGCTCCCAGAATGTCTCCTCGACGCGTTCTATTGGAAGGTCCTCAGGTCGTTGATAGTTGCTATACAGACGCTGGAAGGCGACCGGAATGTGCCAGAATCCCCCTTTATCCTTATTCTCATGGATGAGAGATTGCACCAGCTGAGCTAGTAGAGCTTTTTTAAACTTCTCGACGCTTTGATTTTCTCTATCCGCGAAAGAGAAATAATAGTATAGTACGGTAACCTCAGAGTCTTTCTGAAGAAGATCAACTGCAGATGTACTTAGAATCGTCTTTCCGGCCCCAGCTGTAGATTAAAGTTAGCAGGATATTAAAGATGATATATCAACTAATGCAGGTGACTGACGTTTACCTACGAGCCATAAAGCCGAGTTTTTCTTGTTCATCCAGGACCTCAGAGGCCCTTCAATAAACCATCTGCTTTCCACTTTTCTACGGTTTCGGGCGTTACAAAAGAGTTGGGATGTATACATAGGACGTAGCCACTCGAGATATCGACCTTTTTCTTCTTGGGAGAGTAAACCTATATCACGTATAAGGATAATAATTTCATTTGATTGAATGTACTACGTACGGTTCATGGGTGCCCTGCTCGATACAAACATTTTCACCGAGTCTTTGACCAGACGCTCGTTTAGATAGAGCTCTGCTGCTGCTTCGATAACGTCTAGACGCTCAGACTCGCCAAGTTTAATGTCTGACATGCCTTGGGTAACGTTGAATCGAAAATACCTGCTGCCTACGCCAAGATGCTCATGGTGCTCAAGGAATCTTTTATGCGTTTTCTCTGTCTCGGTAGAAATATGTTGCAGGGTTTCCACCAACTGGACAGCATTATCCCCAAAGTTCTTTAGGTCTAGCAGACCAGTACCAATGCTGACTATGCATTGTACGCGCGCATTTGTAATAGCGTCAGGCCAGATCGACTTAGCCTCATCAAAAACTTCATAAATGGGATTGTTGCAGCCGAAGGCTCCGTCAACAAATGTCTGATTTCCGATTCTGATTGTGTCGAAGAAAGTTGCCGCAGCCGAGGTCGCTCGAGCAGCTTGCCAGATGGCACATCCGGCAAGCGCTTGAGCGTCCACAGCATCGGGTGTTTGGTACGACTTGATGAGAACAGGAGCGAGGAGGTTCTTAATAAAGGTGCAAACGAACCTGGGCTCCATGATTAGCATTATGTGATGATTTCAGAGTTTATCTATAACCACCCACACTTTACAAGAAGTCGTAGGGTCGTCAAGCATTTCCACCTCAGAGTCGCCAAACACTTCTTGAATTACATCGCGTATCGACCTCTCAAGTGCATCTGACCGAAATTTTCCCCGAATCTCCCACTTGTCCTTGTATCTTTGAAAGAATTGGAACCAGTGTCTCTTGCGCTGGAAGATGGCTGATGATAAAGTCATGTATTTATCAATGCAGGTCTGAACGTCCATTCGAAGGCGGCCAAGCATGATAGCGATTATTCTAGTCTTTTAGAATTTATTTGCATGAAATTGTCGGATTGGGATACCTACCCTCCAGTGCTTGTGCCTCCTATTAAGTCAAAATACTCACAAGGTTTCGGAGGGTTGGCTGGGTTCACCTGTCTCATCAAATGCTTGATAATAATCAAACTAGCCAGGCCCCGGACACCTCCTCCATCTATAAGAGTTAGTTACTTTCTAATGGAATGGCGGAAGAGTTGACGATTCACCTATGGAAAGGAGCTTGAGTGGAGGTAGGGTATCGTTCATTTCTGTATGTATTTAGATCTTAAGTTAATAGATTATTGAGTTTTCGTAACACTATGAGCAAGTTGTAAGAAGAAGGGAAAGAGGGAGAAGAGGAGAGAGGAAGGGGAAAACATAGCGAGAGGGGGGGAGGGGGAGGCAAGAGGCATAGACGGCTTTGAAAGTTGTCATGAATAGGCAGGCTGTAGACTAGTTGGATTTTCGCAATCCATAACCTCAACGTAATTGAGTCAAAATGATCGGTGGGTTACATTGTGGCTGTAGTTCAGCTTTACTACCGATATTACATGCATAATATTCATCAAATAAAATCCTCTTATTCCATTGGAACGTGATGTTTGATTTCATAGTGCATATGGCTAAGAAAGTAAATTCCAAATTTCATAAATTACCCATGTAACATCTCAAGCTGAAAAAAAAGTTTAAACAAAAAAGCTGCGCAATAATTCAATTATTACGCCTTTTATGATAAACTTAGATGTTGAAGAGTCCCCTTCTTACACCAAGCTTCTCTGGGCTCCTACATCCGTGGGGAGTTGTCAGAAATACCCCTTAATGGCTGTCATACGTAGAGTAAATGTTAGAAGCAGCAGTTTCGCTGCTATGTAGTAGCCGTGTAGTAGTATGAATCTCTTAACACTTAACCTTCTACTCTTTTCGACGGCGCTACGCGCCTTTTATATATCTATTTCGTGTGGATCTATATCTATTTCATACTAGTACCACCTATACCCTAACATGAGTTGTAGTGGTATTCTAACTGTTGATGTTGGAGCCATAAGGTTATGGGGTTTTATTATACTGTAGTAAAAGTATTACGGAACCCTTGAATTATATGAGCTACGTTGAGTAGGATACTGCCTTGAGTAAATACCTATTCATTATGCGTAGATAAAAAGCGCGTAGTATACTTAGAGGGAAAGGTGCGGTTTGTGTATAACGGGGGCGGCTTAAGGATTTTCTGTATAATGTGATTGCTTGAAACAAGGGAGAGAATGAATTTATTCGGGTTTTATTAGTTGAATTCTTACTCAAGCTATGCACCGAAGATAGACGCCTACCTGAATATAGATTTAACCAAGTATTTCTTGCTCTCAGCTCTGTATCTAGAAACTGAATCATCACTTTCAAACAGGAAAGGTTCAGCCTTGACAATAACAATGTCTGTCTAGAGCAAAGAAGCCATGTTATTCTATAACAAAAGCAACATGGTGGCTCGACTCTCTAGAATCTAAAATCAAGATACAGAAATATACTAAGGTAAATGAGCCACAAAACTACTTTAAATTTTCGCCTGAGAGGGATAGCCTGCAGTGACTTGGTAAGCAAGGGATAATAAACACGACAACTGCACCAACAAAGACGTAACAAATAATACTTAGTATTGGGAAGCACCCATAGCGTAATTTATTTTACCTGATCGGATTATTTATAGCATGTAGAATGTTATGACAATGTATAAGCGGTACACGTAGACCTAGTTGAAATCGCGCCTTTAGAGCCTTCTCGCTTTATTGTCCAACCTGTCCTCATGTAGAGGCCCCTAGGAGTGTGTAGCCTACATGTTATATAGCCTTCGAGTAAACCCCTCCCTTCGAACCGGATAACAACTTCTAAATTTTCAAAGTGTTAGAATTCTAATCTGTGCCTAGTTCATAATTACCTAACTAACTAAGCTACTGGATTGCAATCTTCTCTCATACCATGGGGTTACACACAAAACTACCGGAGGCGGTTGACGAAGTCGATGTCATCATTGCCGGAGGTATGAATCATTCGTCAAAGCCCCTAGGCCCGTAGAAATATACTAACAGATACGTCCCAAATTAGGCGGAACATCTGGCTGCGTCGTTGCCTTAGCCTTGCGGACGCGCATCCTGGGCTATCTATCTTGCTGATTGAAGGCGGTTCAAACAATGAGATGCCTACTATTGAATATGCTGCATTTTTCATGTCACATCTCGCACCCGATAGCAAGACGAACCTTTTCTATATGACAAAGTAGTCTTCGGAGGTGGCGGAAAGAGCTCTCATTATGCCGGCTGGTGGTGTGCTCGGGGGAGGCTCGTTTACTGATATGATGATGTATAGTCGAGCCCAGCGATCCGACTGGGGTTCGTGGGAAACGCTAGGATGGTCAGCAGATGACATACTGCCATATCTGAAAAAGGTAACTGTTCTTATTGAATAATGTTGATAATCCTTACTTAACACCCATTTCACAACTCGAAACATACCATGGCAAAGATGAAAAGGGTGTCCACGGCAATGACGGCCCAATTCATATATCTCGTGGCACATATATTTCGGCCAAGATTGCAGATGAGTGTATTGCAGCTGCAAGTAAACTAGGCTGGCCTGGGGTCGAGGATCTATCAGACTTCTACTCTGTCAATGCCTTGTGGAGAGCTAAACACTTTATCTCGCCTGACGGCAAGCGCAGGGATGCAGCATCATGCTATATTCAACCCCGTATTCGCGACGAGAAACACCCAAACTTGCATATACTTGTTGAATCGTAGGTTATACGTATCCCGTTGGACGAGAAGAAGGCTGTGGGAGTCGAGTTTAGGCATAACCCGCTCTTTCACCCCGATGATACTGATCAAGTCTCCCGTAGTGTCAAGACAAATTAGTAATTGCGTCTTGTGGGGCCTGTGGCATGCCGTCTCTCTTAGAGAGATCGGGTATAGGCGAGAAGAATGTCTTAGAATGTGCTGGTGTTCCGGTTGTAGTCGACCTTCCTGGTGTTGGAAATGGGTACGAAGATCACCACTTGGCACTCGCTCGGGACGTGCAAGATGCTTCCACAAGTTGAGAAGGGCGTAGTTGACTCTAGCCTAAGCGTGTATGGGGTCCAGGGCCTTAAGATTGCAGATCTTAGTATTGCACCTCGTAATGTGGCAGCGAACACTAACGATACAGCTTTGGCTGTTGGAGAAAGGGCAGCTGATATATTTATTAAGGAGTTGGCTCTGAACTCTGCTTAGTTTTGAAAAATTTCAGACAGGCTCTTAGTTACTAGATACTAACAGTTGCGAAAGAAAACATGTACTCTCTTTAATAATATGTTAGCAAAGATACTATAGGCCGTGAGATATATGGAGTAGGGTATCATATATGCAAGTGATGAGCTGAGTCTATCTGATAAAATACATCTTCCTTCGTATCCTAAAATTCCCTTCGTAGGCTATTTACTTCGTTTTACTCTATTGCAAGTTAGCCTCAATTTAATCCATACTAACCTAGCTATCCTAAGCTCGAGTATTATGGAAGATAACATACCTTGTGAGAGTTCCAGCTAGCAAACCGTCTCCGGACGACGAGAAGCAGTGTACCTTCGACAATAACAGCAATGACGAGAACAACTAGTAACGACTTTCCGTACGGGTGGATCCATCCGACATTCCCGTTTAAGGCACTGGTGCCAAATAGGGAGAAATCCCAGGCCCCATGGATGAGGGTAGGAAGACCTATAATCTGTGCTAGACTCGAGGTCTTCCCGCGAAAGTCCCGCCCGGCGGTGCCCAGGCCGATAAGTAGGCCGCCCATCAGATGCATGGGCGAACCAATAACTACACGCTCAACAATGGCTAGCAAAAGATGAGCAACACCCTTATTCTCCTGCACGGCTGCATAGATGAACCCGATGTTCTCGAAGGTACTGAAGCCTAGAGCGGCAGCGGCTGCCAACGTAATATAATTATGCTCATGTGTAATGCGCCCCCTGCGTCGGGCGTATGCTAAACCAGAATACTTGAGAAGCTCTTCCGGAATACTAGCACCAAGGTACGCAAACAAGAACATAAAAGTCCAATACTGCCAACTACTAGCAATCTGTCTCCTCCAAGCTAACGCCTCGGCATCTAGACTAGCGACTTGACTCTCACTCCTTGCGAACTCAGCGAGAAGGGCAGGCGCTGAGGACGGGAACAGCGCATAGCTGAATAAGTAAAATAAAAGGGACTGAACAACAACGACAGCGAAGACTCCAACAGTGCCGACAAGCACATACGTCCAAACGAAGGTCTCGATATCCGTCCTCTGGTCTGCGGGACGCGCACGGTCATACCGTAGCAGAAAGAACGTCGGAGTTAGGACGAACAGGGAAAGCAGTACTGTTAGGGGCGACGCGATACCGAGAGCGAGAAAGATGGCCGGTAGGATGACCCAGAGTAGGATTTTCGTGGAGCGAGAAAACTGATGTTTACTCGGCACCTCGACAACTTGAGGTTTTGCCTCCATCGTCAATGGCACACTCCAGGTGAAGTTCCCTAAGAAATATCGCGATGACTAGGACGATATCTCGGGTGGGGCTGTTCAGGGGTTTTCTAATTGCTTCTGCTATCCGTGAATGTAGGCGGTTGGTTGAGAAATTGTATTGATGAGAATTCACGAATATTAAATCTAACCGCCGGAATTGAGCTGGTATTTATTCACAAATTGAAAAGACGTGTTGTCGTTGCGAAGCATTACCATCTAAAGATGCCAAGACGATCAAATTGTGATCGTGACTCAACGGACTGGTCATAGCGATGAGTTCGCTTAGAACCGAGTGTGCATATACGCCGTATTCAACCACGCGATTCGTTCATCTCTCCGCTAATAAGAGGCACATCGTGATCTTCAAAACGAAAGAATCGTCGTTTAGAATTAACGGGTCATCTCATAAGAATTATGGATTAGTATAAGTCGGGGATTATAATCTGTGTTTCAATTAATTGAAAACTAGAAATGACGTAGCTCGTCTTATAATACGGGATGTGAAGTTATTAATAAGGAGTAAAAATAGGTAAAAATAAATATTCCATTAATTGTAAAAAGATAAAAATGGAATTAATTGACATTTGTTAGAAGCGACGCCTGCAGGATTCGAACCTGCGCTCCCGAAGGAAATGCCTTCCGGTATATCGTGAATATAGCAGGGCATCGCGTTAACCACTCCGCCAAAGCGCCTCGCTATTTTGTTCGGTGAACATTTGCACTAACAAATACCATTATTATTGTTAGTTCAATGTCCCGCAATTATAAAAGTGGGCACTACCCGAAATAGACCTTATATGGGTTATTCTAATAGTTACGGATAGTCGAATATGGTTACAGTTGCTGATCTCTACATGTGAAAGGTATGGATACAAATCCAAAGGTACCTGTTGGGCTATTTGAACATTAATTTGAATAAGACTACCTTATAAATTGGGAGCCCCTCCACAAGCGAAATGTGAGTTACATCATTATTCAAGATTGATTTATGAGGTTTAGTACCCAGTGAACTCTCGTGAACGATTATGGACAATATTCATTTCATCAATGACCGCGTATCCAGCGTGGTGGATGTGCGACTCCTCATAATTCCACTCGCTATTATTCTGTGGGTTGGTTATGCTGCTATATTTCGAACTGAGACTATCGGCAAAGTGGAAGAAGAACCAGCGCAACTCAAAGATCCTATCCCTTTTATATTCAACACTTTCCAAAATTTAACCAATATGGGAGCTTTTCTAGATAGGGCCATGTGAGATTCTTCGTCCCAAGCTGCTCAAATTTGCCACTTTAAACTAATTCTATTATAGTCCCTTGTTACGAGAGAGGAGAGTTATTAGGTTCAACTTGGCCTTCAGACCTGTCTATTGGATAACAGGACCCAATCTTGTCCAGAAGCTATTTGTCACAAATTCATCATTGAATTCAAATATAGTCCCTCTCATTCTTATAGATAAGTTATGGGGGGTTCCTAAAGAGGAGTCTAAGAGATTTGCAGACGACAAAACTGGTCGTTTGACGTCTCCCATACCAGGCACAATGTCCAGCCCAGATCAAAAGCGTCTATGGCATACGGAACATCAGATCTACGATAAATATCTCACCCAGCCTCCCTACAGCAATAAACTAGGCCAGCATTTTTTTGACGTGCTAGCGAAGCGGCTTGACGAATTCCCTACCACCGAGTGGACTACTATCAACCTTTTCAACTTTATAAGATATACTATACCTGAGTGTGCCGTTAACACCATGTTTGGACCTCGAATGCTTGAACTTAACCCAGGCCTTGTTGATGCTCTCTGGGACGTAGATGCCAACCTTGGGAAGTTAGTCTGGGGTTTACCTAGCTTTATTACCCCTCGGCCGTATAAGATGCGAGATAAACTGCGTGCCATGATGGCGAAGTACCTTAACGCTGCATGGGCTAATTTTGACTGGAATGGGCCTGATGCAGATTCAGACTGGGACGTTCACTTCGGTGCACGAGTTTCTCGGGAGATAGCAATATGGATGAAAGAAAACGACCTCTCGATCGAAACTGCCTCCGGCCACACCATGGCGAGGTTGTTTGGGTAAGTCCACACCCTACACTAGAGTAGCGCTATGTATATCGTGCTAATAATGTACAGAATCAATGGAAACAGTGTCCCGTCGGTGACGTGGGCCATAATGGAATCTCTGCAGAGACCTGGGCTTCTACAAGATTTACAAGTCGAAGCTCAAAAAGCCATTACGGTTGACGCAAATACCGGAGAACGCCACATTAATACGCAAAAGCTTCTCGCATCACCATTATTCCAGGCCATCTTCCAAGAGACCTTACGCATGCACACATCATTTATGCTAACACGAGAGGCTCGGGAACCTATTTCCATTGGTGGCTATCGTATAGAAAAGGGGTCGCTAATACAGGCTCCCACGGACGTAGCTCACTATGAAGAGGCTGTTTGGGCTATCAACGGCCACCCAGCGTCAGAGTTCTGGCCGGGGAGGCATATTCGGCTAGTGGAAGGGAAAGATGAATCCGGAAACCCTACCATGCAGCCAGAATTCTTCGCAAAGGCTCGTCCTAGTTCATTCTTTCCATTCGGTGAGTTCCCCCGCGGTCAAATTTACAAGTATAATCTATTACTACCACAAGAGTGTATTGGCTAACACGGTTGAATCACTAGGAGGAGGTAATGTGGTCTGCCCTGGGCGGCACTTTGCGAGGCAACAAATCATCATGGGCCTGGCTATCATAGTGTCTAAATTCGATATAGAATTCATCGAGTGGACAACTTTGGACGGCAAGAAGTCTGACCGGCCACCAAGAAACAGTAAAGACTTCGCCGGCACGGTATCAACGCCCCCGGACCGGGATATGAAGATTCGGTGGAAGAGGCGTTGGTAGGATGATTAAGCTTATCGAGCAATCTTAGATTTGAGTACATACTTGCAAGCCTCGGTATATAATCCATCTTCGTTCTAGCCTACTATTCAGTAGATGAATTGCTAATACCTACTTCATTATCCATACGTCTGATCGAGCCGGTCTACATACATCCACATCCAATCATGAGACCAGGAGTTGCACTCAATCTGACGAGATAATTGATTTGTATAACCAAACAAGTAATATCATTCGATATATACAAGATTCTATCCTACCTTCCCACGCTTCTGATGCATTGAGTTACATCACATAGTGGCAATGAAGCGGGCTGGTGGCCTGGAATGTCGAAGCATCCGGATGAATGCTAGAAAGAGGCGCATTGCAGGCGCATTGCAGGAGCTTGTAGGATGTAGTAGTACTTATTAATTGGGTAGCATTCGGTACAATATCCAGGCTCTCAGAACTAAACTAGTCATCCTTTAAATAGAAAGAGTCCTAAAGTGGCGGGACGTTAAGATCAGAATTATAGCCCGCCACCTCAACCGTAATGGAACGGTTTCTTTAACGGTTTTATTCCTGGGCATTCTATTGGACAACTCGTTGTGATGGAGGGTATGATGAACTAAGCGTCAGCATGGCTCCAGATGCAGTGCTACCTTTTCCCGACCTAGAGGGTCTTGGAGGGGTCGTCCTTTTGTCTGATGTGGGATCTCACATGTCTGGGCTCGTCGCCTTCCCGTCTCTGGGGTAGAATCAATAGTCCCAAGCAGACCTTAATGTATTCCTGATATGGTAAGTTATTTCATATCAAGATATGGGCGTTGTAGTCGAAGGAGTTCTGCATCGCCGTTGTGTTAGAGATTCCTAATCATTACGGCGCATTATATGTCAGAGACATTCTCGCGATACCCCTCCGTAAAAAAGGTACGATCCTATAAGGCAGGTCTGGTGCACCTATGAGATCACTGAGGTGGCTTACATTTCTCCCCCAAATCCCAAATCATACCCCCCCAAGTTTCATCCAGAGTTGAACTCGATTTCCTCTACTCTAATTTGACTGCTGTGCTACCGTCCATCGTCGCAAGATATGGCTGCATCTGTGCCTCTAGACGAACTGATCCCCTTTCCCACGGAGGTCAACGACACCCATAAGGTATACAGAATCGCAGCGGCCTGTATAGCTCTCTGCATTGTTACTACCGGGTTCGTCGTAGCACGCTTGACACTTCGAGCCCGATCCAAAAACCTGGGACCGGATGATTATGCCATCATACCGGCAACTGTAAGTTAACGACACTCCGTTACAGACGATCGCTTCTCATTTCGGATAGATATTGTACATCGGCTGGTCGAGTCTAGCAGCCTATATAAACCTCAATGCGGGAGTCGATAAACCTCTATGGGAAATCACCATAGCGGAGTATTCTCTATGGTATAAGGGAATCGTAGCGACGGCATGGCTATACCCTATAATGTCAGGCACGATCCGAGTGTCTATCACCCTGTTCTACCTGCGCATATTTGGACACGGTAACAATGTCACGATCAGGCGGATTCTATATGCGTTTTTAGCCTTGCAGGGTGTCTACGTCGTGGTCTTCTCTATTACACCTATTTGGGCTTGCCAACCACTCTACTGGGCATGGGACCCTCTACAGCATCCTCTACACTGCAACGATTTATACTATACGTACTCGACGATCGGCCTCTACAGCGTTAGCTTAGCGTACGACGTCGTCTTGCTCCTATTCCCAATATACCCGGTTTTGAAGCTCAATATGGGCTGGCGAAGACGTATTGGTATCCTGGTTATCTTCATGTTGGGTGCAGCGTGAGTAGTTCCCCTCCAGAGTATTCGAGCAGAAACTTATATAAAATTCAGGGCCAGCATTGCTGCTGCATTGAAGTTAGCTCTGTTTGTGGACGGCATTCGAAGATTTGTGGTTACGGATCCCGTCTGTTAGTATTATCAAGACTTTTTTCATCTTGATCCTGTTTATCTAACAGAAGTTCTTAGTTTTCCAATACCTCGCCTCCCGCTTTATTGCCGGGTCGTTCGCTGGTTACGGCGAGACATTCTGGATTCCATCTCAAGTTGAGCCTACTGTCGCCCTCATTGGAGCATCGCTGCCAGCACTCGGCCATTCTATGAAGTTAGTTGCAGGACGTGTCACGAAAGTGTGGTCTAGTTTAACTTCGACTTCGAAGACTACGACGTATGACTCTCAATCAAACCCACCGACGTTTGGCCACAAGCAGACACCTAGTAAAGGAGGATTTCAGCCCCTGAACGAATCGCAGATCGAGCTACGGGATACAGGAAGGTCCAAAGTCGATAGCCGCGCGCAATCTACCGATAATAGGAGTTATTATTGATTTTTGCGAATTTAGGCATCACGTCATACGGCCCTGGAAGTTGTCGTATCATGTAAATCTAGCGGCTCGTCAACCGATCCTCTGTATTATAACGCGGCGTTTCCCGCCGATATAGATGATAAGTCTTGGGCCTAAAAACAATTGGAAGGTGTATATAGGAGTTGAAAAGTTATAAAAAAAGACAATGTAACTATACAATTTAACGAAGTTATCTACGAGAGAGAAATGACTATTGCCAAACGTATCCGCTCAATCAATAATAGCACAGAATACGAGTCTTCGTTGAATAATCTTGAAATTCTGTTCACCCTCAAGACCGGTTTTAGACTACCTCTCATACAATTACGATGAGCAAGGAATTGAAAACAGGTTAATGTGTCCAAACAGTCTCAGGTCTGCTGACAGTCAAGGACAAAAGGACATCTTAATGTATTATTGCCTACCTACCTAGGTTAGGTAGGAATATATCGAATAGCGCGCCAATCAAGTTAGATGATACAGTGCGAAATTAATATTGATACGATAATGTTACATTGAGATTGGGTATATCTACAAGATGGGTAGATCCTCCAACTTACGTGCATATGAGCTGGGGAGTTAGGACGGAGGCTAGTACTTATCCATAACAATTAGAAGTCCCTTGCCTACGGCACAGTGCTTTAATAATCAAGGTCATCATTACAAAATATAACATAATGAGGTATTTAGTCCGTGTTATCCGAAGGGGTGGAATAGTAGGCTGCATTGCATGTAGAGGGTGACAATAATCCGACTCGTCGCCTACACTACCTAAATAGACAGGTAGCAAAACGCGTGGCCTAGCTCCCCGCTCCGGAGAATTGCGGCAGGAAATAAGCACCTGCGTGTAAAAAAGGGTGGTGGTATTTGCAGCATTCGGACAGTACTAACTAGGTGAGATGAGACGCTGGCATCATTGAAAAAGATAGAGGATGTTGTAAGACCGGTCTAGAATGTCCATAGAAGGATTCTAGCTGCAATGTACTTTCGTAACTCGAAAAAAGGGGTGTTCTCCGGGGGGTTGTTTGAGATCATGGCATTATCTTTCATAGCTGAAGCGGAAGCTGAAGCTGAGGCTAGCCTGCTTGCGGCCTTATAATTGCTGAAAATCGTATAGGTAAAATGAACTAGCTGGTAGGATCGGATTGCGAGCTTGAAGCGATTTTAATAGATGGTTTTAAAGTCCGAAGTATTAAACTCTTTGAAAAGACACTCCTTGAGTCCTTGAGTAGATCTTGACTTAATTAATCGCTGTTCTATCATTGTTCTAAAGAATATTCTATGCTTCTATGCATCGGTGCTCCAATACGATTACATAGCCCAGCCACCTCTTAGTCCTGCATATTTCGGTAGCATCTCAACGTCCAACGGGCTAGAGGTTGCAACCCTATTGGTTTAATCCAGGTAAGTGTAACACAACATCAATATCGGTACAGCACAATGGGAGAGTTACTAATGACCAGTCGTTAGGATAGGACAATTGCATAACGTTGCATTTAGAGAGGGCCAAGAAAGACGTTCTCTTTCTAGCTTTAGGGGCCATGGCGGTGCTCTCCAGTATTATCAGTGCATTATCACTGCTGAGCATTGTCGGTTCTAACATAGCGCTCGCCGATTCTACCTCACATATAGGCCCTTACCTTGAATCTCGTGACAATATGAGCGAAAAATTCCAAGCTTTTTACAAAAGCGTAGGCTTGTCGGAAGCACAAGCTGAAACCCTAAAGGAGAAGTATGGTACGGAAACAACTGATGCAAACTCTGTTGAGGCAGCTTGTACAGCGGCACAACTCAGTCTTGGAGCATCGATAGTTGATACATCTCCCCTGAACGAAACAGTGGTGGGCGAAAACTGGTAAGTTCTACGCAGTCTATTCATCATTCTAGTCCTCATACGTATCTAGGTCCAAAGCATGTGTCGCCGAACCTTACTGCATAGTCCAACCGAAAACAGCAGAAGATGTATCCAAGGTCATCAAAACGATTAGCTATTACGGCGTCAAGTTTGCCGTTCGCAGCGGTGGTCATTCTCCCAACCCTGGATGGTCAAGCGTAGGACAAGGAGGAATTCTTGTGGACTTGCAAAACCTGAATCAAATCGACCTGAGCTGCGACAAGAAAGTGGCGAGTATCGGTCCCGGGGCTCGATGGGGTGAGGTGATCTCAACTCTAGACGAACAAGGAGCTATGGTTATAGGTGGGCGAGTTCCCAGCGTCGGTGTAGCAGGAGTTATACTAGGTGGTATGTTATAAGCCCCTGTTGTTCCTAGGTATTTCTAACACTTTTAGGGGGCTACTTTCATTTTACAGGACAGTTTGGTACTGCTGCCGATAACGTGAAGAACTTTGAGGTATGTTGTACTCCTTGATGAATATGCTGAGCAGGTGGCAACCAAGTCCTAGGTCTCGGCTTAGATTTCACGTACTAAATTGAACTCCAGATTGTCCTATCGGATGGCACGATCACTAATGCCAGCTCTACTTCCAACCCGGATCTCTTTTGGGCTTTGAAGGGTGGTGGGCCTAACTTCGGAATCGTAACTCGATTTGACCTAAATACCGTACCCGTAAGAGGGATCTGGTATCAGGCGTCGGTATACTCGGTCGATCAAGCTGACGTTCTTTTGGACGCTTATGCCAAGTGGCAGGAGAATGAAGGCGCAACCGATCTCAAGGCCACCGTGGGTCTTGGTATTTCTCTTGACTCCATCAGCATTGGCCTAGTATATTCGGAACCAACAGTGGATCAACCAAGCGCGTTTGCACCCTTTAGAGACATAGAACCACTTATGGTCGCTGTTCCACCAACCAACGGTTCAATTTCTGCCTTAACGGCGATAATGGCTAGTACTGGAACTGGGTCAGACCGGTACGTACCGATACTTCTAAAAACTATTTGGAATAGGGACTAACTAATGAAATTGTAAACAGCCACGATTACCGAGCTGCTAGTACCCGTATCGACGCCCAACTTTACAAGGACGTATATGCCTTTTGGCGAGAGAAGGCTCTTGCAGTTCGCAACGCCACAGGAGCCAACCAAAGTTTCACTATCCAGCCTGTTCCTAAGAATGTTGCCATACAGGGAGAACAGAAAGGGGGAAATCCAATGAATATCCCAAAAGAAAACCATGGATGTAAGTTTAACCTCTTCTAAAGTATACTGTCGTATATAACTTACCTAACTAATAATTACTAGGGTGGACGACAATTGTTGATTGGAATGACGAGAAGGACGATGATCTAGTAAGATCGGTCTCGATCCAAACCAGCCAGAAATGGAAGGAATTAGGAGACGAGCGAGGCTTATCGCTACCATTCACCTTCATGAACGACGCTTCTCGAGACCAGAACCCGCTCGCGTCGTACGGTACTGAAAATGTCAACAAGCTGAAGCAAATTTCCCAGAAGTATGATGCTTCGCAATTATTCCAGAAGCAACAGAACGACGGGTTCTTACTTTCTAAATTGTAAACTATAATTTCTAATCTATTAGTTAAGTTATATTAGGAGACGCCTTCTAGATGGCGGTTATAGATAATTGGATCGATAGGATAATTTATTAAGTACTTTTTGCATTTAAACATAGCATATAAAGAGTGTCGAACCAGTGACAAATGTATTATTACGTTATTTACATTGCAACCATTCCCTATTTTGGCGACATATTTATGTAGTAGTATGATTTCCAGGTAGTTAGTCGCAATTTCCGTTGACTTGGTTCATGTCGTCTCTACTTGATAGCATGGATCTTGATTCCAAATAGACACGTTTTAAAGGATTGTGATAGTAACTCTAACATACTTCGTGAATGTCACTCTTGCTGCACTTGGGGTTACACAATCCTACTCTTTTGAGAGGAAAAAAAGTTGGAAGCGAGAAATCAACCATGACAAGGGGGAAATTTAAACTTGTTTAACGACCTGGAAAAAAATGAATTGCACGTTACGAATCTAATACGACCATAATATGGAGGGCAACATTAGCCATGTATAGCTCCGTAAATATCATATGTCATTTGTGAGAATCTTGGTAGTGTCACCGCCTTTCACATACAGAAGACACCACAGGTTACATGATTCCAACATGGTGGGTTGCACAGCCTAATATACTTTAAATTCAAGGCCGTGTCACAACGGCTGGAGTATGTAAGCTTAAACGGTCTTATAGCTGAATGCACTGCTACGTTACGAGTTGAGTTCTGATTTGACAGTAAAACTGTCCCAAGCAAATACCCCGCGTCAGCAGCATCTAGAACATTGAAGTCCTACCAGCTAATTGACGTAAGCCCTTATTAAAAGGTACCTTAAAGTCTCCCCCGGACATTAATTACCGGATATAGCGGACTTCCACGGATGTTTCCGGACAACTTAGAATCCTAATTGTCCGTTTAAGGTAGGTCTAGGATCCTTTTAACTCCTTCGAGATGTAAAAACCTGTTAATTATTTGTAATTCACTAATAAACCTGGACCTTTCCAGGATGAGATCTCAATAAAAACGGCTAGATCTTGGAATATATACGATTTTGAAAGGTATTGTGGCTTTTTTACTTCCTGTGGGTCAGAGTAAGCACTTAAGCAGCATCCCGAACAAGGGACTCTCGGACTCCAACGTAAGCAAGCATTCTGCAATTCAGGATCTCAACAACGTATGATGAACAGTATGAACATTGGTTTAAAAATAACTAATACCTACTATACGAATTCACGTATGTTTTGTACACGGAAACCGTTCCTATCGCTCCTTTTCCCATCACATCATGGGATTTTATAACCCCCCGGGACCAACCTCTGGAACACCAAGTCTGGATCGTACTCACGTTGTATCCGCCGGAACTTCCGAACGTTATTTGTGCCGTAATGGTCGATGACTTGCTGATCCCAGCTTGCATCGTTCATGAAAATGTACCGTAGAGAGTTACCGGTTTCCTTTGCGGCAGCTTGAACCTCATCGATCAACTGCGTTGAGCCGCTATGTACTACATCATCATCATCTGGCCACAACCAGCCAGAATCAACTTTGAACCAAGTCTGGTTGACGGCCGTTAAACCTAACGCGTTACCACCCTTTGCGTTACCAGCCTCGATGACACTGCTGGATATTGGCTGTATAGAGAAGGAGGTAGATCCCGCAGTAGCCGAGCGGATTTTGTCTAGCGCCTTTGATGTAGTTACAATAGACCCAATCTTGTCATATAACTCCTTGCTCGGGGTTAAAGTGGTAGTAAACCAATCGATCCTGTACCTGCATTAGAATCCGCCTCAATCAACTAATGGGGTAGGAGTGCAGTATGCTAATATACGAAAAGGGGCAAGACTTGGCATGGTAACCTCGGTGACGAGGACTCCATTTCTTCAAGTTATACGAAATTGATTGGAGTTGTAAATCGTCAAATGGTGCTGAAGGAATTGGCAAATACGTACCTCGGTGGGAGCTGTGCTTGTGCTTGTCCGCTAAGGAATTCCGAGAAGGAACTGATCGCTGTAGTGTCGAATGTAGTGTTGATGTGGTAGAACGGCTCGAACGCTATAGGATTCGGCTCCGGCTTCAGGTAGATCAAGCTAAGTATAACTCCAAACGACTCGTTAATAGGAAACCCTTGGAGCATCAGATTTGCGTAAGGGTCCTTATTTGGCGCTGTTTGATACTTGAAGGCGGCAGTAAGTAGTTCCGGAACGTCTGCCAGCGTGTACCCTCTTATTCCACCCCAGACTTGCTGGACAGGATATGTCGAGAGCTTGAACGTAGTTACAATACCTGTTGCATGTCTTAGCTAGGTAAGTTTTGAGGGGTAGGAAACAAACGCACCAAAATTGGAAGCTCCTCCTTTCAAAGCCCAAAACAAATCTTTATTGGTGTTTGCATTGGCATGGACGAAAGACCCATTAGCTAGAACAACCTAGTAAGCAGTTAATATCATCGTATGTCATAAACTCGGTAAATGTAGAATCATACCTCGAATTCTACCACGTTGTCACAAGCTAGACCGTAGAGATCAGACAAATAGGAGAGGCCGCCTTTTGGTTTAGATGTTAGTTGTTGTTCTAAGTTTGGAACTGTAAGACTCACCTCCAAGAATTAGCCCTCCTACACCGACATCTAATACTCTTCCGCCAACAACGGTGACATTGAATTGATCAAGCTGCTTGTAAACATTCTCCCATTTTTGACCAGCACCAATGTTGGCCACATTATTCTCAGCATCGTATTCTACGGCATTGAATTTCGAAAGATCAATTAAGACCCCTTGATCGATATTTGCAGCTCCAGGCGACGGGGAGTGGCCTCCTGAGCGCACAGCAAAGCTGACATTGGCATCTACCAATTTAGGAATAACCTTCTGCAAGTCTTCTACAGACTCCGGCTGAAAAATACAGGTCGGCGTCTTCCACGCAGTTTGAGACCTTACAGTGTTAGCTTCCGTAACTAGACATATGTTCTGCTAATAAGCTTACCAATTCTCTGTTCTTAAAGTAGAATATTCCGTATCATTAGGAAAGATGATAGCGCTTCCGAATGCATTGTCGAGTTGTTTACATAACGGAAGACTGGACTCATAAGTAAGAGCCACCCCTAGGCAGTGTGAATAAAGTGAGCCGAAAGCGGCTAGGAGGGATAGCTGCTTCAGCATAATGTCAGAGTATGACGGCTGGCAATAGTGAACAAGATGGCATCAACCTTTACTAATGAAAGGCTGTCCTACTTATCGAAATGTCTTGGAAGACCACTTATGGGGATTATCTAATCACCTCGCATTCATTGTCCTAAGTTAGCGACCTGCTCTTGTAGTAGCTCGTGGCTGTTGTAGAGTGCTGGGACTGCGCCTTGGTTGAACATTGGGATCATTGAGCAAGATACACACCCATCAGATCAGTGGGACCACTTAGGGGCCATCCACGCCACTATGCACTTATAGAAACGGTCAAGATTAAAATAAGAATAGATTGGGACTATAGACGGGCCATGTAACCAAAACTGATGTATCTCAGTACCTTGGTTTTTTGGGGGGCAGGCATAGATTTACAAGATTGGACTAGGTACGACTACTAGCTTGTTCAAACCTCGGCATCAGGCTTGATAGTTGAATATTTAAGTAGGTAAGTATAGCTACCTTTTCCAGAAGCCAACGATGTTGAAGTATGAACATGGTTTCGAGTCTCCTCTTTAAATCGACACTACGAAAAGCCCAACTAAGCTCGAAGCGCCAGCTTTCCGCCATGGCAACTAGTGAGCTTCACGAGAAAGTACCTTTACAGGAAAGTACCGGCAACGACGGGCTGGGCCAGCAATATGGAGGTGGTCATACGGGTAAATGGGTTAGTCGCCTCCCGCCATCGGTGATTCCGTACATACAATTGGCTCGGCTTAGCCCCCCTGTTGGGCTTATCCTCATCTATATTCCGCATTTCCTTGGTATTCTCCACTCGGCCATCCTGCAGCAGGGCTCAAGTCCCGCAGCCCTATGGACTGCCGCCGTCCTACTTCTTGGGGGCAGTTTATTCTGTTCCAATGGCGCACATAGCTGGAATGATTTGATCGATACTGCTGTCGACAAGTTAGTTGCTCGCACTCGCAATCGTCCTATTGCTCGAGGTGCCATCTCACCCCGGGCTGCCTTCATTTTCACCGTGACGCAAGCCGCTAGCGCCGCAGTATTCCTTCTCGGCTTTCCAAAGCAGAAGGTTGCAGCGTATTGGGCAGTACCGAACATCATCGCTACGATATACTACCCCTACGCGAAACGTCATACCTATTTCGCTCAGTTTGTTCTAGGATTCTGTCTTTCGTGGGGGGTTTTCATGGGTGCTCTGGCGATGGACGCGGATCCCCTGGAGAATTATTCAACTGCGTTCCTGTTCCTTGCATGCATCCTTTGGACGGTTATCTACGATACGATATACGCACATCAGGATGTTAAGGATGACGCCAAAATAAACCTAAAGAGTATGGCGGTTTTATGTGGGAATAAGACGAAGCACTTACTTTGGGTCCTTTTGAGCGGCATGCTGGGTCTGCTTTCTGCAAGTGGTTACCTAGCCCAGATGGGACCCTGGTATTACATCCTGGCGGTTGGGGGCTGCTTCGCGTCCCTGGGAATAATGATCTTGAATGTGGATCTCGGAGATTCCTTAAGTTGCTGGTTATGGTTTAGATATGGATTTTGGCTTGCCGGGGGGTCAATGACAATTGGGTTACTTTCGGAATACCTACTAAGATTGTAAAATAAGGGACTTCTTAGGTATAAGTTCAAGTTACGATGGAACCTTTACAAGGAACTTAGGCGTCCGAAGACGCTCCGGTAGCAATAGCACTATACGCATTTGGTAAGATCAATAGAAGGTGTTGTTTAGTTGACAGGGATGAATTTCCTCTTTAAACATCGTTATAGAGTCGCATATATCGTTTAGGAATAAAAGCCCAATTTTTAGAAAATCTGGATACCGACAGCTGCATCTAAGTGGTATTTCTTCAACACGTGCTGAGCTTAAAAACAGGTTCTTTTTTCCAGTGGAACCTACAACGTCGTAATATTATGCTATGTACCTAGGTACTTACATATATGTAACGGTCTCGGTAAACAACCTATAATGAGAACTATTTTGAGGTAGTTATATAGATCCTGAAGATACTTAGGTACATGGTAATATTTTAGTTTCCTGAAAAGGTATGCGGGACATCACTTGGCTCGATGTGAATGGTCAATATTTTATGGGGAATATGTCCTAGGTGGTATTCATTTACGGTATGCAAACCGTTTTTGTTCGGTGACTCGAAATCTCAGTTTGATATCACCGTTATTGTAGGACCCCTTTTTCATTGGTTTGTAATAACATGTTGATATTTCTCAAGGTCAAAATCCCTTCGGGTCCTTCTAGCTTGAGATAGGCTTCCGAATATCCCCCGAACTCATTCATTAGGTCATTTGTAGGTTGTAGCTGTCTTTAGCTTACCTACCCTGTCTCGCCTCTCTAGGTATCTAGCTAAGACAGCACGTTCAACATGATAGGATCTGTTCTTATCACAGGGGCCAATGGGTCCCTTGCAATACACGCTGTTGACCATCTCCTTCGTCATCACCCAGAATATGCTGCTATCTTAACCGTACGAGATGTTGATGACGCCAACAGCAAGAGACTGCGTGAGATAGTATCGAAATACCCAAATGCAAAGACATTTATCCACCAGCTTGACCTTGCTGACCTCTCGGCCGTCCATGATTTCGCCAGCAAAATTGAGAAAGGGGTAGCTGATAACTCGTATCCTCCACTTAGCGCCATCATCGCCAATGCGTATTATTGGAATCTCGTCCGCGACCCTGAGCTCACAAAAGATGGTTACGAGAAGACCTTCCAGATTGGCCATATCGCCCACGTAGCTCTAGTGCTACGTCTCTTAGGGAGCTTTGGACCGGAAGGAGGAAGAGTTGTACTTTTTTCGAGCGATGCACATTGGCCTGGCAAGAACTCATGTTAGTATCTCTCTTCGTATCATCATAATCCTAGCTTGTCTTCCGGCATAGTCGAACTCCCCACGTTTTCCGCGGGAACCGAAATTTTAGCTGCCGCCTAGTTTATGCCGAATCACCAGGCCGCGACTAACGTTATCAATGTAGTGGAGAAATATCCACCACAAATCCCAGAGGACCTCGAACAGCTCGTTAAGGCCGATATTGGGGCCGACAAGACAGGTTTAGGATTCCAGAAGTATGCGAATACAAAGTTGGCAATTGTGACATGGTCGTATGCACTGGATAGGCATTTGAAGAAGGTTAGTACCTAAACTATCTGAGAATGATTGTGGTCTATTATACCAAAGCTACATACAGATAACTACATGCAGATAATTAACCTGACTAATTCTTAATAGGACCCGAGTTTAAACAAGATCACAGTAGTAACAATTAACCCCGGGAACCTGATCGACTCACGTGCGCTTCGAGTTAACACTCCAAAGCCCTTCACTTACATGCAGAAGTTTGTTCTTCGACCTCTTCTACCCCTGATTCGGCTAAAAGATCATACGGCGCGCCTCTCGGCCCCAGCCGGAGCAGACGTTATCGAGCTAGCCGTTGACTCAAAATACGTGGGCCAGGCTGGTTATTATACTCTTCTGAAGAAGGATGAGAGTTCGCCGGAGAGTAAAGAGGAACTGAAGCAGGAAGCACTATGGACGAAGAGTTTAACTTGGGCTAAGATCAATAAGGAGAACACTTCTTTGGCCCTTGACTCTTAATACTGTAGCAATATCTAACCCTTGAGATGATTGATTTTTAGCGGGGGACTTAAGCAACTATGTAGAATGCCATAAGTTTAATAATACCTTAGGATTGATTCATATCATTTTTATCTGCGTTTAAACATAGCTGTAACTAAGTTGTGACTGCCTAGAAAACCGGTTATATACGAGACTAATTGTTTAACTCGAGTGCCTACGATCTGCAAACCGTCTCTGAAAAAATGAAGACTCCATCTTCTCACAGGCTAATTGCCAATTTTCTTCAGTTAACCATTCGCGATAGAATGGTTGGTATCCTAATAAACCCCCAAGCCACCTCCCAACCAAAATACTAACGGCTTGAGAAATTCTATGCCTAAAAGGAACCCACCACGGCAACGATAGATATGAGCCTCCTGCGTCGAACGTCTGTTTATGTTAGCTACCTATATACACAAGATAGGCTCAAGTTAGATAAGGGAGAGAATAAAGCCTAATAGCTCACTGATATGACTTGAATCGGGTCAGGCCTCTTGCCACCAACCACAATCTCGTCCTGATACGCATACCAACTCTGGAAGAAGACGTTGTCAAGTTTAAAGGCCTTTAATGTCTGTTGGCCTGAAAGTAGAAACTTCGTCGTGCTATCTAGCGTCGACGCAGCGTCTTCCTGTGCATCTTTGGGGGACAATGGAGGCGGATATAATCGATGGTCAACCCATGGTCGTAGACGAAATTCCCCATCACTTGGACTTAATACGACTTCACGTCCGTTTACCTCTACGGCCAAGCGTCCCTCCAATACCTGCACGTACTCTTCCTGGTACGGATGGAAATGAAGAGGAGGCTTCTGCGATCCTAAAGCGATGAGGCGCGGATGAGCTAGATCAAAGGTCACTTCGAAAGCAAAGGAACGATGCGGATGGGTCATAACACGGGTGCTTATGGCGCCTTCAAAGCTAATAAATTTATTTGGTCAGAAAATAGACACTCATGGTCCGTTTTTCATATTCAAGACACTATCAAAAAAAGAAAAAGAAAAAGGAGCTTCATACCCCGTGAAAGTCATATCAGAATCTGAATAAGGAATGTTCTCCATCTTTGCCGTCAGGGGGTGCAACACGAGGGAAAAGAGTATTTTCAAGTTATAATTTCAGCGAAGAAGAGAATCGGCTGAGGGAACTATAAACGTACGATTGGAATTGACTATAACGAAAATATCTAATTATAGTTCGAAGCTTACCTACGATGACATTCTATACTGCAATCAATTATCTTTAACGCTTATCGATAAAGCTCGAGATGCCGAGGCTAAATAAAAGCACCAATGTATTATGTAAGCTTATAAGTTTAGATACGACGATGTCGTGACCATATCTAATGTTTATAGAAGCGCTCGTTTACTTTTAAGATTTTGGTAAAATACTCAAATATTTGCAAGCCTATCTAAAAATATTAGTTAAACCTATGCGCGATCTGCATGATGTATAAATGTGGTATTATATGTAAAGCTTCCTGTGTTGTTGTTTCATCATGGGTCAAAACTCAACCCCCTATCCCTACATCTCTACAATTCATCCCCTAAACAAAAAAAAAGACGTCAATAAATTGCCCCACTATAGCCTTTTCTACGTAACCACTCGTGAAGTCAATGGGATATTTAATTGCCCGGCAGGCAATAATTTCATATATATAGTGGATAATACCTAGGCAAATACCGTAGATTGAGTGGAGAGGTTTCTAGCTTTGAGATATCCTAACGAAACTAGTGTCGTCGATATCCGGAGCAACTCCGAGGCTAAGACATATCAGAGAAATTCACCGATTTCGCCATCGTTGCTTTAATAATTTTTTTTTTCAGAATAAGATGTAAGTAGACCAGAAGTTGTGTTTTCAAATACCAGTTTATCAGGTCTCTTATAGAGGTAGACGTTCACAAGCTGGTTTATATTAGTATCGTAGAATCCCATCATCATGACAAGAAGACCCTGATATCGAGTCTTAAGAATTTGAATTAAGCTAACTTTACATTGTGGGCCTTTGCCTCCTGAAGCCCACAATCTCTTACCGCCGTGGAAGAATTTCCGAATAAGGTCAAACAACTAATTCTAGTCTCTACACTAAATGCGGGCTCTTCCGCACCTGCGTCTCAACGTCATGGATGAAGATATGATTTGTAAGGTTAGGAGCCTCGGTCGTTATGGATAATGTGAAAAAACTTTCATCTTGCTTGGATATATAAGATAAGTTAGTTGAGCTGCTTGTCTGGAATCATACGACTTCTATTATCCTTATAATACTTCTAGACCCATTTATACCCATACTTAATACGTTAAACAGAAAAAATGTCTAGCATTACCTTCACAGTTTTCAAAGGCGACAAGTCTGGCGCGCCCAAGAAGGCCACTACGACTAAACCAGAGAAATTATCGGAAGATTATGTCCTAGTTAAAGTTACGGCTTCTGGACTATGTGGAACTGGTAAGTCTTACGTTAGGTCTATGAAACTCGAAGAAGCTGGTCACTAACTCATGAAATATAGATCTCCATTACGTATGTAATACTCTCACGTGGTCTAAGCGTGGTGATATAAGACTTTTACTAACCTGGCATTTAGAAAAATGATGATATGGTCTTAGGACACGAGGGAGTTGGTATCGTCGAGTCTACAGGACCGGCATGCAAATTCTTAAAGAAAGGCGACAGAGTTGGCTGGGGTTACGAGCATGACTCTTGCGGCCACTGTCAGCAATGCCTAAGCGGCAGCGAGACATACTGCCCTAAGCGTGCTATGTACGGATTCGCAGACCGGGACCAAGGCAGCTTCGCATCTCACGCTATTTGGAGAGAAGCTTTCCTATTCAAAATCCCCGATGGCATGACAGATGAGGATGCTGCACCTATGCAATGCGGCGGAGCCACCGTTTTTAATGCTCTTCACGCCTACAATACCACGCAGACAGAAACTGTCGGTGTGATGGGAGTTGGTGGCCTTGGACATCTGGCTATTCAATTTGCTGCCAAGATGGGATGCCGCGTTGTCGTTCTATCCGGCACTGATTCGAAGAAGGACGAGGCTATGCGATTAGGAGCGCACGAATTTATCGCCACCAAGGACGTGAAGGAGCTTAAAGTGTCACAGCCGCTGAACCGCCTGCTTGTGTGCACTTCAGCCCAGCCTAACTGGGAACAGCTTATCCCCATCCTAGCCCCAGGAGCATGGATTCACCCTCTTTCCGTCGACGAGGGCAATTTCTCCATCCCCTATTTACCCCTTTTATTGGGTGCCATTACCGTCCAAGGATCCGTTGTTGCTCCGAGATATATCCACCAGCGTATGCTTGAGTTTGCTGCTCTACACAATATTAAGCCTGTTGTTCAAACCTTCCCGATGACGGAAGCTGGTATCAAGGACGCCATGGACAAGTTGGAGCAAGGCAAGGTGCATTTCCGCGCGGTTCTGAAGCCCGAGTAATCCTTATGCCCGGAATGAGTTATTCGAGCTTGGGGGGAAATTACACAGTACGAAATATTCGATTATATGAGGCATGACTTTAACTATAGAAGGCAATCACATAGACTGGGAATTGATAGAGGTTTAGAGTGTTAGTTTCAAGGGCGAGTTGGATTGGAAACTGCGCCACAAATAAGTTAAATAGAAGTATGGAAAGACAATAGATTTACTACACATTTTAATTTTATATACAAGTACGTATAGTAACTGGGCTAGTTTATATTTCAGCAGTACATTTTAAGTACTATTCGTTGTCTATATTACGTGCTGTATCATTCGAAAGTTGCCCTCGCTAGCCCCCTATCTTCTACACCATCTTTTGCCGCTTTACTTAAGCCTGATTAAGCACTATTTAGGGGAGGCTTAGCCCTTACTTACGACAGCTTAGGGGAAATATTAAAAATATGTTAACAAAATGAAATCTTTTCCCAAATCAAGGGAATTAAAAATGGAATGTTAACTATAAATTTGTCGAGTTTTGCTTTATATGTAATAATATTATAGGCGGCTACACGGCGTGGAAAAGCCATTGCCAAGAACACATCGACAGACATGAAATGCCGCTTCGCTCCGTGCCGGGGTGTATAATTTGTCCTGTTTGTACATCAGAGGATCCCGCATAGCCAATTTACGGATGGGACTTGGGGGCCAATGGTGGTGCCAAGTTCGGCGGCGGGTGCGGCGCATTGTCTTGATGGAGGTAAGCACTTTATACGCCATAGCTTATTCTGACCACAAATTGGCCATGATGTTTACCTAGCTAGGTGCTGTAACGAAGAAATGTTGCCCAGTAAAAATAAATCTCCACATTAACATCTATAGCAATATCTATTACTTCTCCTCTAGCAAACATCTATCCCTAGCCTCACGAAATCTTGACTCCCAGAGAATTGGGCCATCTCTTGGCCAGGGTACTTGCCTGGTAAATCGCAGTCCTGGACCCGATTTGCCCCCCGCGTCTTTCAGGATCTTAACAGTCAAATCATATCTCTCACATCGGCGATCAAATTCGTGACGTGCAATTCTCAAATCATCGCGGCTCTGATTATCGATCCTTCTTTTTCTGTACTCTTCCGCAATATCAAGCGGAGTAAGCTGGCTCATGTGCAGTATCCGCACCTCTCTATTTTCAACATGTTCCCGTTCATAATTCCACATCAAAGCGTTAACATTTGATCTTTGCTGGAGTAGCGCACTCAAGGTAGACGTCATGCCGTTTTCCGCGCATAGGTGAACCAATGTACAGCCGTCCAAGTCGCCATCGGTTAATATGCTTCTCCGGGCATCCTCTAGTGGAAGTGGAAAAACATGTTCTGTCAAACACTTGGCAACTTGCACGTCAACTCTATTCGTCTCCCATCCTCCATGAACAGCGACGGCATATGCAAAGACGCTCGCACCCTCGAAAGAGGTATTGGGATCCCATTCTCTATCTGTGACATCCGCACCCGCGGACAAGAGGGTATCTATAGCCACAATGCCAGCATGTCTAGCTGCTGCTAGGAGAGGAGTTGTGCCATCATTTTGTTTGTGATTGACGTCTGCACCCGAGGAGCAAAGGAGCTTGATAGTATCATTGTACTTGCCCCTATCGAATGGCACTTGGGCTAAATGTAGCGCTGTCGCGCCGTCTCCATTCGGTGTATTAGGGTTAGCACCCTCTTCAAGTAGGACGCTAACGACATTTAGGTTTGAAGCTGGCATCTTACCACAAACTGCCATCATCAACGGGGTCATTCTCTGTATATCAGACCACCAGGTCTCTCTAGGCTGAGCCCTCCGAATATTTGGTGTTGTCAATAAGTCCATATTCCCTCCTAATTGCTTGATTGCTGAAACAACGCGTTTCAGGTTTGCTTTCTGGCGCCTAGGAGCCCCTTGGAAAGGCAGAAAGGAGAATCTAGCACCCTTTGTCGTGTGGCGCACATGGTTAGCACTTATACGGTGCAAGAGACCAAGTCCCTCTTCATCTACACGATTGATGTCAACCTCCAGGCCCATAGAGTTGATAAGCTCAAAGATAAAGGGTTCGTGCTCTAGAGCGGCGTAATCTAGGGGGTTGAGCCCTGAGGTAAAGCTCTCTGAAAAGGAGTAAGGCTCCTGATTGGGGCCCCCAAATCTTCTCAAGATTCTAATTCGATTGTCATATATGTAAGGGTCGGATTGGTCTCCAGTTCTTAGAGATGCTCCATACTGAAGAAGGATTTTGATTGTTGAGTGGCTTGAAGTAGCAACTGCCCAATGTAACGGAGTTCCTGCCGGTAGAGTAAATGGATAATGCGGGAACGGCAAAGGATGCGAGCTTATAGCACGAATCGTGCCGGAATGTTCCAATATCTTCTTTAAAAAAGACTCTTGTAACTGTTCTGGGAAGCAAAAAATCCAATGCAAACATGTGACACCAAAACTCGTGCATCGGTGTTTAGCGGACGCACCGTGGTCCATCAGGGTAACAGCGACATCCCAGGAACCTCGTGCACATGCGAGATATAGCGCAGTTTCGCCGTTGTCCGTTTTCTCATTGATATCGTAGTAAGTTACCGTTTCTAGGTAGTTGGATATCTCGGTTAGTGTCCCAAACACGGCTAACCAGTGTAATAGGTTGTAGCCTAACTCTGTTCTTTGGACGCTCGTCATAGGAGTAGACGCGGCTGGTTCTTTCTGGATAGTAGAATACCATATATTGTAGCCACCACGGAGCTGGAAGCTCTCCAGGGCAGAGTCTAGATCATTGATATATCGCTTTGCGAGAGTAGCTCCACTCGCGACTCCATCAAGCGACCACTTCTGAAGGCAGTGTGCGATATCAGGTCTTGGCTGTAGGCCAAAATACTCTAGCACTGCTGGAACAATAGCTCTCGCCGATAAGCATCCTAATGCCCCAGAATCCTGCGAAGCTGCAGCTATAAGGAGCTGTACTGTTTGGTCTTCAATACCAGGGAAATTGATAACTTCAATAGATTGAGCAAGGAAGGCACCAAGCAAGATAGTCGGGTCCGTATTCGCTACCATTTCGGTTGTACCAAAGCAAAGCCCCTTGGCGAATTCATCCGGTAAGATAGGAATTTCCCAGGAAAAACATGGCAATCTACGTTCGATCATATGCTCGTATGATGGCAGAGGACGCTCAATAGACCCTGACTCCTGGGAGACGTAATCAAAGACTTCAGCTGTCTCGTAATCTATAATTTCTTCATCACTATAATAAGTTAGTACTCTTGCTAGTCACCGTAACAGGCTGAAACGTAACTTGAAGTCCTCATTTGTTACGGCTGCAGGGAAGAGAGATGTCAGAGACTCCGGCCTTCTGTCTGGCTCGGGTTGTAACAAGGCTGGCAGAACTGGTTCCAAGAACGATAGCGTCCCAAGGATTGTGTGTTCGGCGTTTTTTATCTTCTGCTCTATGCCGGATTGAGGATTAGACCGAAGCTCGTTAGGCGGCGTTTGCCCATTTTCGAAAAACATGCTCCAGGTTAGCAGTCCAAAGGAATAGTTGTCCGCTTTTATCAACCCATCATAGGTCAAGAGACGCCCACTCTCTACTTCGGGAGCTTGCCAGCCCTGAGTTCCACCCAGACAAACACCGTGCGCAAGCTCAGTATCACTTACGCATAAGCCAAAATCTGCTATCTTGGCGACACGACGATGATGTTGCTGGAATATCAAGATATTTTCAGGTTTTAGATCTCCGTGGACGAATCCATTCTTGTGCAAGGCATCTAAGCCATTGGCGATGTCACAGGTGAAGTCCCTTTTTTCGTCGTAGTCTGCATTTTCTTTTTTTCCCTCTAAATACTTGTTGAGTGTCCAGTCAGCCAGCTCCATGACGAGTGAGATGGGCGAGTGAATGCCGGTCTGACTGAAAGTCCATGATAATAATCGAACTATGTTTGGGTGCTGCCTTAGGGCCTTGTTTGTCAGCGCTGCGACTTCTACGTAGACGTCGTTCAAATATCTTCGAGCGGATTCGTGCCCATGGTTCAGACTCTGGTCGTGGTCCAGGACGAACTTTGGTTGTTTAATGGCGACCCAAACGTGTTCGCATCCAGTATGGGTGTACGTCATGATTGTTTGTTTTGTCACGAGGAACTGGGAGCCTTGCCCCAAGTAGTGTCTGGTACCACAAGATAGAGCTGGCCCATGCAAGCCGCTGGAGTCGATAACCTGTATAAGGAGGTTAAGACCACGATCATGTTGACTTTCGGAAGTAATGTTGGCAATAATGTCCTTCGTCTCCTGTCGGCCCGACACGTCGTTCTCGTAAAATCTGGAGGAGCGTCTTCGACTATAGACGAAGGTTAACTGCGATGAGGCAGTGGTGTAGCTCTGCATGTTTCTAATCTATATTTAATATTTAATCGGTGCGTTGTAGGTGTTAGCTCCGAGCTTTTTACGGAAGATGGAGAGAGGCTGACATCATCTGGGTACCTTAGGTAGTAGGCCATAGTTGAAAGGTAACTTTCCCGCCGAAAGGTTCATGTCGTGTAACACACCCAAAATTGATTCGCCCTGTTAGAAAGAAAGGGGTAAAAATTTTCATCTTTTCATCATTATGGTTTTCGAACAAAACAATATGAATGATTGGTACAATCAGCTCAACGACCGGCTCCAGTCGTCGATTCGCCGACGTACCTACGAGAGTGTTCAAGTTCTTGTTCTTTACTGGAAAGATGGCCACGAGGGGTACCGAAAGGAAGGCCAGGCTGTGCGAGAAATGTTCCAGAATGACTTCGGGTACCCTGCCAAAGAGTTTCCTATACCAACGACTAACAGTTATGCCCAACTCCTCCAATTGATAACTACCTCGCTCAACGACATAGGAAGTGTGGCGAATGAGAAAGGCGCATCTTCTCTCCTCATCATACACTATGGTGGACATGGTGACGCAGACGATGATAGATATGAAGGACAGGAAAGAAGATCAGTATGGGCAGCGTAAGTTCTTGAGAATTAAGGGGCGACCTGTCATCCCGTTATACTGAGGCTCAAACAGACATGAGGAGGGCGATCCAATATTGAAGTGGTACATGATTCAAGATCAGTTTGATGAGATCAACAATTCAGATACAGATATACTTCTCTTGCTAGACTGTTGCTTTGCAGCACAAGCAGGCAGAGCGCGCCATAACTCGCGTAGCAGGTTTGAAATAATGGCAGCGTCCGCCATGGGAATGAAAACACCGGCACCTGGCAATACCTCTTTCACAAATATCCTCATACGAGAGATTCGCCAGAAACTCCAGGATGATGGCCACGTCGATATGAACTTACTACATGGGCAAATGTGTAATCGCAAAGTAGATCTCTGGGCAACTCCAATCTACATCTTACTCAAGAAAACCAAAGGATCAGTTCAGCTGCACCCGGGCTTCAAGGCCGCTACTATCACATCCACACTAGTTCGAGGAGAAGCCTCAGAAGCCACCTTTATTCATCTCCTAGTCCAAGTTGAGCAGGAACTAAATTCATATGAGCTTGACGAGTTCTGCCATTGGTTAGGCACCGACACGCCACATGCTGTGTCAAAGTTGGTGTGCCAGACAACCTCCAAGATCAGTGGTGCCATTGACGACATGGCTAAAAGTGAGAAGGTCATCTTCAAGGGTCTAGATTCGCCCTCAAAAGAGGAGATAACAAAAGTATGGGACAAGGTTGTAAACCTGGTCGAGCTTTTTCAAGTCCAGCAGCATGGGCCACATCTTTCACAGTTGGATGCAGAGGAGAAAAAACTTCGAGCTTCTGAGTTTTTGCGTAAACTAAGCCTTGGAAATAACGAAGTCTTGGAAACTCTAGAGAGAAACATTCTTTGCGCCGACGGCATGGACAATCAAGATAACCTAGAAGAAGCTATTCATGACGATACAGTTAATGGCCTAGGCATGGTAGAGCAGTTTCGACTTCGACAAATCATCTCGACTCCGCAGTCCGAAAATGCGGGTGACAACTTACCTCACGCGTCATTGGGGTCTCCCAATGCAATTGCCGAATACAAGGAGTATAGCCAGTACATCGACAAGGCCGAGCTTCCTGGACTAACCGAGCGAGTCAAGCTCCTCGCGAATCTCTTGACTTCATCTAAGAGTCCAGACTTCCGGTCTCTAAAGTGCCTCTCATGGGACCACCAGCCCTTAGAATACAAGTACACATTTCAATTCGAGGTGCCTAAGCGATACCAGTCGCCTCAATGCCAGTATAGGAGCCTACATTCGATCATAAGAACAGCGAAAGCTTCCACGAGGCCGACTCTGGACGAGAGACTCCGAATAGCATTTTTGCTAGCCAGTGCTCTACAGAAATGGCACTCGGTCGGTTGGCTACACCAAGGAATTAATAGCCATAACATCATATTCTTCAGAGTACCTGGCCAGGAACGTTTCGACTATAGGGAACCCTTTCTCCATGGATTTGACTTCGCCAGACCAGACTTGGACCCATCCATTGGGAAGCCCCCTGATGACGACACATTCGACATATATCGCCACCCAAACAGGCAGGGCCCATCGCGCCGTGGACATCGGAAGATTCATGACATATACTCTCTAGGGGTGGTCATGCTGGAGATTGGTTTATGGCAAGTCGCGTCGGATATGAGAGATCCCCGTTCGAAACGGACGAGTAAACCAGAAGATCTGCGGAATTTGTTCGAAACCGCTTCATCAAGCCGCCTTCCGCATTATATCGGAAGGGCTTACGCTTCCGCTGTTCATACTTGTCTCCAGTCATCATTCGGAGTTAAGATGGATGATGAGCGTGGGTCGTTTTTAGCACGAGCTTTCCAAAGCCAGGTCATTGATAGGCTGAAAGAGGGTATCCAGCCGAACTGAAGGCCTGATGTATAATGGAACTGTGGTTAAGAATTAAGTAGTTGTCCTAAATTGAAGTCTTCGATGGGGGGAACTAAAATAATGACTAAATCTATAGGATAGATGTGGCGTCTTGTACTTTCACTTTCTCCTTTCTACCAAATTCTAACCCGCTATCTGACCAGCCATACGGCCCATAGCCACCCACCCTTCGCTCAGAAATCGGTCGGTATCTAATCCGCATTTTCCCCTGTATTTGCTGCATCCGTTGCTATGAAGACGACAAGCACAGCTGCATAGCTACTCGCGTTAGCCATCTTAATATTATGTGTTCCGGAATCAAAATCTTACCTTGCTCCCGCAACCAAGATTTCAGATGCCTTCGCTTGGGTGAAGAACGATAGGGTCATGAGAAATACCACGCCTGACAGCATAGTTGCCACTATACGCCCCAATGAATTTGGTATCTTCATCAAAATAATCGTCGGGCCCAAAAGCACTACCGTAGCAACTATGACAGCTAAGAAGCGACTGAAATTCTGTAGTGCAGGTCCCAAAAGCAGTACGTGATCGTCTGCTGTTATTCTGTACGTAGTTAAACGAGTACCTGAGAGGTGAGGGAACACCTGAGGGCCATGAATAGGTAAATCTTCCGGCAACAGATAGGGGTGCTCACCTTGTGCATGAGTGTCTCTAGCCAGAATATACACTCCTCTACAAATGACTCTGTGTAAGCCGTTGATTTCTCTAAGGATTTAACGGGGTTTATGAGGTCATTTTCGTGCTCTAAGTAGCTCGATTCCTGGCGATCCAGGCAGGCAGTGCCATCAACCCATTTTCTTAAGTTCTGCACGTCCCGCCCTCTTGATGCCGGGAGAGATACCACTGTACGGCACTTCTCTAACATGTCATCTATCATTCGGTTAAATCCATACCTTCGTGATGCTACTCCCAGGGGCCTGTCCTTACCATATTCGGCGAGAGCAGCCTTCAGGTCAGATAGTACTTGCTGTCTTTCGACATTCTTGTCCCGACGCATGCACCCTAGAAATAACTGGCGGTCTTCTTGTTCATCAATCTGGTCTAACTGCTGTTCCAGGGCGGCCACACGATCTTGTGCTATGAGCAGAAGCCGCATACGCACTCGACCGAAGCGACGGAAATTGTGAAAGGTCGGATGTGAGCCTAGCAGTGCCGCATATCGGGGGTACCCTGGCCGGAATCTGTCAACTATCTCAATGTCAATATTGTTGCAAAGTATGGGTGAGGAGGTTATTATACCGGAGTATTGGGTCGGTTGAGATATGTGGCCTAGCATAGTTCTTTATCAGCGTGTTGCAGAATTCCGTTGATGGATCTCAATCTCAAAAAGAACACTCAAAACGAGACTGGGGGAGGATTCGGCGAGTACTTTACTGTGTTTATCATAGCCGCTCGGCGGCCGCAGCCTGCATGCACTGAGTCGAGGCTCGCCGGAGCCTTTCGTCAGGATGGCAGTCTAATGCTTCGGCGGCATGCTACAATCCATTTCATACCTTGCCACCAGAAGACTTTAAAACAATCCCTTTGGTCGGAATTCTAGTTATGCACTTAAGTCCATCCTACACATCACATATCCAACGCTTACCACCCACATAAGCGACTATGTACATACATAGGTACCAAATCACACCAATCAGCAAGAAACATGGACGCAACATGGACGCAACATAGAAAAGCCTCATGCGGGGATGCTTTGGTCAAATTTTAATCACCTACCTATCTTGGTAGCCATGATGCGAAGTTCAGCACTTCATATTCTCGTAACTGTGAAAGCCCGAAACTTCGTCAACTAAGGTCGGGCGAAATCCTCATTTATCGTATTAATACGTAATATCTTTACCTAAACAGCCAACTGTTAAAATTCAATGGTAAATCAGCGGGAGAATCGGGTGGTGCCAGTAAGCTGAAAATCCTAGCTCAGGTTACGAGATACTTAACGAACGCCATAGTCGACGGATAACCAAGGCGGTGGGGGTGAGAGGCCTAGGGTCAAGGTTTACGTAGCTGTACGTTCCATAGGCACTCCGATCTTCATCTAAGCTAAGCTAAGAATAAACCAGAGCAAGTTTCGTCCAAATGATAAGGTCTACCTATCGACCGGTGGCGGACGCGCCCTCAAAGGACCGTACTTGATTGCGAACGTACCGGAGCCTGGAAAATACACCCTGTGTACCGAAGACGGGTCAACAGCTGAAGACGGCAGGGTAATTGAAGAGAGGGATCTTTGCTGGGCATGAAGATGTTTGGATCTATCTACTTCGTACAGCTGAGCTTGAATGCTTAGGTCTTCACAGAAATTAGAACCAGATGTAGTCAAGAAGGGTGCCATGTTGCGAACTCACAATCAGCTCAGGTAATCTAGTAGAACAACCCTCGGCAATGCATCATTACATCATGTTTACAAGATCCTGTAAAGGTTCATTGAAGTCTGAAAGACGGTTGTAGACTTCCTAGAGGAGACCCAAATCAACAGATAGCGCCTGTTCCACTCATCACGATATCATTAGTGACCTCTCTAGCGGCGCTGCTCCGATTATCGTAGTGCACGGTAGATTCGCGGACCCCCGGAAGGACTATGGCCTCCCGCACCATTTGCGGCAGTCTATAAAGTATGCTACCCGCAGTCTAACCGTAGTATACCCTCCTAATCCCCTAAATATTCCATCTCGTCAATCTTCTATGCCAAGCCCAAAACCGCCTATGATTTCCCCCCTCGGTAGGCAATGCCGCCCATCACTAGCAAGGCACAATCCAGGCACCCATACCATCCTAGGACTACGCATCGTCACTAACTCCAGCCTGCAAGAACTCCAGCGCAAAGTCTCGAACACTACTCACATGCCAGCTCATCTTCCTCGCATTACCATCCCCAACTAGCCTGCCACAATCAAAGACCCCAATAACGGTATTGTCCCCTGGGAATACTTGGTACACCTCGGTACCGATCTACACTGGAAAGAAAGGAGGGGGCGACGGTATAGTCGAAGATTGTGCTAAGAGGCCAAATTTTCATATTTTACACGGCTTAGCCTATATGTTAAACGAGTGAATACAGTAAGAGCTAGAATTCCCCCTTTGCCCCCAAAAATCTGCTTTAGGTGGATGGTATGCCATGCTTAACCTAAGGTTTATAGAAGGGCTCTCCTTCAGCACAATCCTCTCCTTGCTCAATACATCTCTTCACGGCTGCGTCTGCATCCTCATCGCCATCTAGTATGTCTAACCAGGAAGTCTTGAGGTTAGGAGAATCTAGTAACAAGGCTGTAACATACGCAAGGGATGGACGGCTTGTTGTTCCTGCTACTCGCGGATACTTCCCTAAGGCAACGCCACCAACGGGCTCCATTGTCAATATGCCCGGACGGAGGGAAACTGCTGCGAAATCCTTCCTTTTCTTTCCCTCCTCCCACAGCACCTTATCCGCTACGATCTTGGCCTCGTAGTATCTATTCAACGGATTACGAGTTGTCTTGAGATACTCCTGCCAATGCTCCTCGGTCACCCAGGACATCTTCTCATAACGACAACTGTTGAAGGATATCAATATAAATTTAGTGATTGACGGGGTTGCAACAGATGCGCGAATGAAATGACATGCAGCATCGCGGTCAATTGCCTCAGTCTGACAAGAGGATGTTAGCATATGTCGGACTTAAGTGAAAATTCAGACTTAACGCCGATATTCATACCCTCTCCGGTGCTCCTTTCCCTGCAGCACCAGCACTCCAGACAACATAGTCAGGTTTCACTTCATCAATCAAGGTCTTGGCCTGTGCTTCGCTCTTGACGTCTTCGATGCTGCGGACAAGAACATCCAGCTTGCCCTTATGATTCGTCTGCGCTCCAATCTGCTGCAACTCCGCAACCTGATCTGGGCTTCTAATGATACTGGCAACCTCCCACGATCGTTGAAGGAGCATCGGTGTTAACAACCGAGCTACTTTTCCATTGCCACCAAGTAAGAGAACACGATGAGCCGCCATTGTGATAATAATTTTCAAAACAGACTAAGAGGTAAAGTAGTAGCGTGGTAGTTGGGAAAGGAAAACTACGGCGGAAGACTCGGTATATAGGCCAAGGGACCCCCTCAATTAAAGTGTCAGAACCATTAGAAATTTGTGCCACAGAGTCATTTAATACGTCAGATCTGCTCTTACTAATCAAGCAGCCTGCGGAAAACTCCTTGGAGTTATTAGCCAAGGATTAGTCGTACCAAACAACAAGTCGGTAAATGCGGTCACTATCCGACGCACATGATAGATCAAGTTGAAGAGGATCTCTCTCGTCTGGAGATACATAGGTATGTATGAATAAAGATACTTATTTGTAAGTAGATACCTATGAAATAAAATTTGCATGATTCAACTATTGGTAAGTCCAGCAGGCATCTCAAAACACCTAATCATCTCAAAATATTAGCAATTTAATACCCACTCGGCACGTTTTAGATACTGTGTTCAGGATTAGAACCTAGAATATTTTAGAATGGAACATCTTGAAAAACAATCATATACAAAATCTGCTCATTTAACTACCCTATGGTCTTATTGGAGGGAGTTCCAGCATTTCAGATGAAGAAAGTACACAAGTACATGTATGTGAATCCACTTAACCATCTAGGTGCACAGGTTGCTAGTGTAGCAAACATCTTCCCCCGCCTGCCGTTTCTAAGGTCACACTTGCATCCCGAAATCCCGGCTCCGCCTAACTTCCTAATTGGTGGAAAACGCCGCACCCGGACCTCATCCGGATCGGAGCCCGGCCAATCCGGGGCCGGCTAATCAATCATACCTCCGCCTTACAGGTCCGGCCTTCTATGCTATCATATGGTCACAGACACAACAAATTTTACTTCTAGTGCTTGTTTCGGTGAAAAATTAATAAGTAAAATCCCAACAAGAACGATACTTGAAAGAAAAAGAAAAAGAAATATTATGATGCTCATTACGGATCTGCTTCATAGGTCCTTTTACCTTATTCATTTTACGTGAAGGAATTAACAAGAAATGGCAACGCATCTAGGCTAAAATATAAGAGATCATGAGCCTAGCAAAGACTGCACTGCTGATACAGCACTTTTTCCTAGGTGACTTGGTAATCCAAGTATTTAACTGCTGTATTCAAACAAAGCTCAGATCAGTAGACCAAAATCATCAAAACAGAATACAACTTAGCACATGGCATGTTAAGTAGGTATCTACAGGATTGGCCCCAATCAAATCAGTGAATTACCATTAGCAAATAATGTCTAGCATCATGCGTACACTCTTTAAATCTCTGCGAACCAGGTATGTAGATGATTTGACAGTAAGTGCTTCAGATGAACTAGAAAACCTATCTTAGGGTGCCTGGCAACATACAATGGCATCCCTAAGCTGTTGCTGTGATATTCCCTTCTTAGCTAGTACAGGTGGTCTAGTACCATGTATTAAGTCCTTAGCAGGTACATACATCATGTATGCCAGCTGCCTATCCTCGAGGTTCTGCACCTAGCCTAGGAACTGTGTAGGGGGGCGCCCTGTATGAATCTGCAAGTAGTTTTCATCCAAAGCCCCTCCTCTTAGTAGGATGGTACAGAGAAGTCACTCCCTTTACCCACTTATACACAAACAAGCAGAATCTTCTGTAGGCCTGCAACTAATAAGGAGCTGCGCATTACAGCCTACCCACAAACAAATCGTTGCCTTGAGAGTGGCTGCAGCTCTGCCTGGTGATTACTATTTAAGCAGACAGATTCCCCTCTACTCTGCATCCTCTTCCCTTCCATTCTTCACCTTCAACAAATCCTACCTTGAGCTCCTCTCACCTGTACCCAAGGCATTTCTCATCTACCCTATCTCATACACAAGCCATTGCCAGCGCAAGTCTGCCTCTTTACAATCTTCCTTCTTCCAACATCATCTCCTATACAAGTCTAGTTCACTATGAATTCCTCTCCGGGACCCGCCACCCTTTGGGGAATCCTGGAGTCTGAGAACTCCCCTGTCTCCGCTCCGCCTGTAGAGGACGTTGACATAGGGGTCTTTGCGATTCCGCGTCTCCCACCCCCAATGCTGCTTCCGGTTGTCCAGCTATTTGGTGAAAATTACATGACGCTCCGGACGCCCCGTTCCGGACTCTACCTCCATCAACTCATGTTTTATCGCTACGCCAATGCGGATGATTTGATCCGCTTGAACTATGGTTTATTCCATAATGACTATCCTGATCTGACGTATGTATAATATATAACGCCCTTTTCATTTCCTATCTTGTACTATTATGAGAACAAAGCTAACATTATATTCCAGAGGCGTTGTTGACCCAGCCCGTCTCCGAAGGGAAGGTGTCGCTGCTCAGGAGTCCGCGCAATACGACGTGTACGTATTTTACATCATGATATCACCCAAGTGTATGAATGTAACGCTAATAAGATACCTTACAGTGAAATCGTTGTCTTGATCGCGGATGGAGTCCCCATCTTGTTGCATGTCGAGATGATTCGGTCTCTTCGCTACTTGTACTGGATGTTCGTCGATCCCCGCGAGCACGTACGATATGCTTACGTTGGCGTCCCCGAGAGCGCCAACGTTTGGAAGATTGCCCTCTTGGCGGTCTACGGCACTGATTATATCGACCTAGACGATCATCCTTATACTGGAGAGGAGTATATTGCTGCAATTGCCCTAGTGCAGAAATGGGCGGGGCAGAAATATATTATAAGAAGTATTATACAATACTTCAAATCATACTGTGTTCGGTTCGAAACCAGCCTACGCAACCTCCCCATACCCGCCCCGAGAGATCAAGCGGGCTTTAACGCTCATGACTATGCATTGGCAGAGATTCAAGTATGGTACGTGCACTATCGAGCGATCCGGGGGAGGTACCGCACTCTTCCGATGGGAACGTTCGGAGAATTCGCTGTGAGTGCAATTCATACTCCGTACCTGATCGCTAGACTGCACCAGCTAGTTGAAGGTTTCCGCTTCGAGATCAACATGGCCCTCCCCATACAGGACCGCATCGAGACCTCCAATCACTGGTCCCAACAAGGATACCCCTACCCCGAAGCACCCCCGTTGATCCTGGCTCCAGGAGGAGGGCACCGGTTCTACTAGACACCATTGCATTACACCACCCGCCGTTTGACTCTTGAGACTTTACTCCGAGTCATGATATGTTTCAGCATATCCATTGCGCATTGCTTTGCTTTTGCACTTGAATGGTTGTTTGAAGAGACAACAGCATTCTTATTTCAATTTGAAGGAAGGAAAAAAAAAAGCTTATGATTACTACGAACTCTGAACGACATCTATAATGTTGTATCCAGATGATTGCCCGGGACGAAGGATTGCACGAGACATATGACTGCACGGTTGATGAACTTACTTCATGGCAAACGAGCAGAACCTTGCAGACTCTTGCAGACACGTTGATAGCACTTGCTAGCTATAGATAGTCCTTACTTGCGTTGATTAAGTATTTCATGTCTTTAGCCGCGAAGATTTAATAATATGCGAGTGTTTTCTATTATGACTTCCTCCGTTTAACTCGCTGTCACCTTTTGACTTGGTATTGTAGATCTCTAAGATCCGGCTTAAGCCAAGTAATCTAGCATTTCTCATTACATTATTACTGTACATGAGTATTGATTCTTTTAGGGCTAAGTTGATTAATTAGTATCAACATTGGTAGATATAACCCACAGAGCCAGCCATTTTCAAGATGGCGCATTGTGATCTCCGTAGCATGTTTCTAATGGAAGGTTTTGTCTAAGATGCTAAGCTAGGGCTTTAGCAGAGAGAAAAGAAGCTCACTGATATAGATAGTTATAATACACATCAAAGCAAATTTTTATTGTAACCTCTTTCGAATTCTACCCCTTTTCGGAGCATTCCGGTGAATTTGCCGGAGACAAGAGTTAAGCGGAGCGCCGGTCCGACGTGCATCACGGCCCCACTTCGGCGGGAGCAAACATAATGGATGTAAGGAAATGCAAACAACTTTCTTATACATTGTTTAATTCAATGGATACCTCTTAGGAGAGGACATTTGAAATATTATTGGAAGAGTATTTCAAATCGACTGGCCAATTAATCACACAATCGTGTTAAATCTTACACCTATCCTTGCAAATTTGTATCAATCCGATACTCTACTCTGTATACGTCTTACCAGAACCACCCCTTCATAATATTATCAATAAAAATGCCTTTTATTCACTTTCCTATTCTGATAACTTTGCCTCATCAGAACCTTCATAAGATGTTATGTAAGTATAATTGGCCCTAGTGGTATGAGTTCCTCGGATAGTAACGCTTCTCACAACTGAGATAGCTTCGTCGAGGCACCCTCGGGCTAGCGCACGTGCTTCATGTAATGATACTCGCTTAACCAATAAATCGACCACGCTCCACCGCGACTCGCTCTAGTCTGTAGTGAGTTTCCATAATCCGTCGCCTAGGTAGTGCGCGTCCTCGATAACGGGGCCTTTACCCTTCTCTTTGACCTCCTTGGTGCCCATGACCAAGAATCCCACGGCGCATGCCTCGAGCTTCCCCTCGGCTCGGACTACTACGGGCTCTCCCTTTTCCAATTCCCTGGTCCACCTCTCGTCTTCGTCTAGACCCTCCTTCCCCTCTTCGGTGCTGACGCCGCTGGGTAATCTACCACCAGTGCTTGTCAGACCGGGTGCCATGAGTGTGGCTCCGGATAATACGAAGCGAATCGCTCCGCGGTCTATGCGTATACTAGGGAAGGCGTCTGGGAAGCGGTGGACGAGGCGTAGGTGCGGTAGTAGCGTTGTCGTGTCCTGCTGGAAGAATAGCGGCTGGGAGTCTAACACGTACAGTGTGCAGCGATCGGGAAGCTTCATGGCCTCGAGCGACCCCTTCTTCGGTAGGATCTCATCGATGTAAGGGTTTAGTAACGGATAGGTAGACAGTAAGGACTGACGTAGCGAGCGCTGAACGGACGACTTTAACTTGGATTTGGGCGCGGCGGTTATCCTATTTGTTGGTAAAGTGGGATGATTAGCTAGACTATACTATAATGACCGAAAAGTCGGCTAACAAAGTCGGGATAGGCTAAGAGAACAGGAATGCTTACTCTCTCTTGAACATCTTGGCGGATCTAGGTTCAATTGGCTACTATGCAATTTTAGGAATTGTTAAATAATGTCTGAATGGATATTAAATGATGTTTAGAGTAGAAGCTCGTGAAAGTTTGGAGGGGCATTTGGATGAAATGCCCCGCAATCAGAAGTCCAAAGCAGCAAAGCGCGGGGCAGACTCGACCCCTCGAAGCTCCCGGCCTAGCGGGGCACATGGTACGAAGGTACTTTCTATCAACGCTATCAACACTACCTAACATATCAGCAACATATGATCATCATTCATTATGCTGCACGGTATAGATCTGTGCATTTAAAAGGAAAAAAAATAAAATCATGTCAAAGATATTGTTGTTGATGATTAATTGCTAGTCATTCTTATTGCTGATATTAAAGGGTACTAAGTAGGTTACGCATAATGTTCCCTTCCGGCGAACCCCTCCATTCCAAACCCAACAGCTTCGTATCTGTCATACAAAGGCATGAATTACATAAGGTGTGATTTCTAACCATGCTGTACATGGCTTACGGTGCCGTCGTCCTTGACATGGACATTCAGTCGATCCGGGACGAAATCCTTAGTCACCATCATGCCAGGTTGAATGACACGGCATTTCTGGGGGAGATCCCTTTTGCAGAAGTTCTATAGTTTGTATGCGTTAGTTGATATCTTCATATGTATAACTGATTTCCTGATAGAGAGATATGATGAGAGAAAATTGGTACATACCGTCTCGCTGTGGTCATTTTCGGATACTGTCTTTCCTACTAGCTTGCTGGACCACTGAGTAGTGTTGTCCTGAGAGTTGTCGGTGATTCCTGGGACGACGAGAGGCATTTTGGTAAGTTTAATGTTAAGTATTCTCGTAAATAGATTTATGTTGGTAGTAGTTATGAGTATGTCTGTTTAGATTCGGGATTTGTAGGCTTTGGGTGATGGAAGAGATGTTATCTCTTATATGTAAGTGTGAGAGGCAAGTAGTAATCTGGAATGCATGTTTCGCAGCCGCCTCGTATGCAATGACGTATACAACTTTCTAAACAGGGCAGTCAATGCCACTAAAAATCACGTGGATATTCCCTGTCGACTTAGGTAATCACTTAGTTTGGTCACTCCTGTCACTTTCACTTCCGGAAATCTCATATTTGACTTTCCTTATAAGGTAGCTCAGAATGCATAATACAAGTTCAGACAGATAACCATGCACCAGGTATGTAAGTTCGGACACTTCATGCTCCCACATGCTTGTTTTAGAAATATCATTACAACAACAAATTATTACTAAACTAAGAGCTCAAGTATTTAACTTAATGAATCACGATATTTTAGATATAATAGTTACGAATTTGTTCCGCATGCTAGATTGTTAACCTCGACATTTTGAGGCAAGAAATATAAAAATAAGCATTCGTTGATTTAAGGGTTACACTTTAGAAGATAGATGAGACATTTACGAACGTACTATACCACAGACTACTTAATCACGGAGAGTGCCGGTTTTATTCCTACTGTCAACCTTATCGCGGATAGCCGCATTTATGTTCTACTAATAGTATCTTTAATCTCATATGAAGATATATGATAAAAGTTTGAATAATCTGTAAGGACTTTGGAGAGTGATAAAATTTAACGGTAATGCTTGTCCGCTTCATTCATCAGTAAATATTAAAGATATATTATACCGGCATATCTACACTCTTTCATATTATTTAGGGTTAAGATTCGACGAGCTGGATTTTAGGTAGAACAGAACTAACAGGACTGGGGAACAAGCTGTAATTAAATATGCCTTAGGTAATATTTCCCCTATTGATTGACAGCAATAGCTAATAGTAAACTCAACACGCACATACCTACTCCAAAGATGACACTCGAACCGTATTAAAAAATCTCCGACAACACACCAAGGGTAAACAGCATTACATATACAACGTAACGTTGTTCGGCAAATATCTACCATTCACAAGGAATAAATATCGATAATCGTTGCACAAAATATCTGGGTCGTCGCAAATGATAGCCTAATGAGTACCGATTTAGAAGGTATCCTGCAATGCAAGACGCGAACCCAGCAGAATACGCGGGTCCAGCAGTCCAGCAGCTGTTCAGCTTCTCCAAGCCCCCTTGCGGAGCTTCGGCTCAGCCACCATGCTTAGCTCTCCTTGCATTGGACAAGGGGGTACAGCCTTAAATCGCCCAACGTGTTCTAGTCCGACTCGCTTGAGGCATGTTACTGGTGAATATTCTGTGTAGTGGACTATCGATAGTAGACAATATCAAGCATAAGGGGTTTAAAGGATATCGGGTATTGAAAATTGGCAGTGGTACAGGGTAGTACAGATCGGCATTGCAATAAACGAATTATCCCGAGCTGGCGGCTTCCCATAGGCCCGTCTCGACACATTCATTCATGGGCATTAACAAAAATCTGACATGCAGAGAAGAAAGCCCTGCCTCTCCGCTAAAATCAGATCAGCTTAGATAAGGCAAAAAAACCAGGCTTTTGCTGATCCCCCACAATCAACAACTTTTGCGGATGTATCTTTTTCGGACTTTCGTATTCTTTTCGACACGTTCTACGAATAGTGGACATAGAGAAAACACTTGTCTAACCACCTAACAGATCCTCTTATTTCTTTGTACTCTCTATTGGGGAAACACAGACTTCCTGATTCAATCTCCGACTATGTAACAAGACAGACTACCTAGCTACATGGCCAATCATGACAGCGACGTAAGGGCTGTGCCGTTTCCGAGCCAGCCGCAGCGCTTCTTTCTCTAACGTAAGGGATCGATATGTGATTCGTCCCGTCATGCCGTAAAGTCAGTACCAAAATAGGTCACTTATAAAGGCTAGGTAAGTTACATCAGGTTACCTTTATGTAGTTATCGGCTAGTGCTCTGCTGCGCGATACAGATGGATATACCTAAGGTAGTATGAGTATGGTATGTACCTCCGCAGTAGGAGCCCTAGGTACCCGACAGCTTTTGTGAGAGCTAGCTGTTCCCCTTGCCATTAGCCCTGTAAATGAAAATAATAACAAAAGACCCTGAAAAACATCATGATGGGGCTGGGCTGGGCCGGGCTGGACTGACTAGCCTAGCTGCATCTGGACAGCATTGGGAAGGATGCGTTTTTCTTACATATTCAGCCAACCCGTACCTCCGTCTGGTCAGATTCTCTCAGGTTTTCTTTTCTTTTGGTTCTTGTGTTTCCCATCTCGTACCCTTCGTCATTAATGACTTTTGCGTGGCTCACGGGTTCTAACCGACAACTATTACTTTAACAGTGACTAGGGTCACAATCAGGAGATTAAAAACTTGAAGACGGATCAGAGAAGAGAATATTCTTGGATAGATACATATTTGTCGGCCAAATCGGAACGTGGATTTGTTGGGTTTTACCTAGTTCTTGGGAAGAAATCACAGTTGGGACTTTGCCTCCAGGCTTCCACCTATTCGGGCAACTTACAAAGCTGGTGTCTCGACTGAGCGACATCTAGTTCCATCTTCACCTGAACGGTCTCGTATTAGTACCTTAGCGTGCTGCTGCTACTTCTAAAGCCCGAAATTTCCACATCTTACCAACCAAGCCAACTATCATTATGCACGGACGAAGATCGGGTGCCGCGGCCCTCCCGGCCACCCTTTTACCTCTGCTTCTACTTTTCCCGGCATCGTCACTCGGCGCCAGCCCGGCGATAGCAGACAGAGCTTTATATATCCGCGATGCCGCTCTTGGGCTCTCCGCAGCCGCAGCTTGTGGTGATAAAGGCTCTCTCGCGCACTGTTTCCGCAATGTACCAGAATACGTCGAGGCCGACGACCTAGAGCGATGCTTCCGCAACGCCGGCTGCACGAGTGCTGAGTCTACCATCGAAGCCGCCTTCATCATCAACAACATCCACAACGGCAAGTCTGTCGCCGAACTTCGACGGCGAGGGCCTGAACCCATACCAGGTGAGACTTACCTTTAATGATAAAATAAGTAAGTTAAGGGGATATAATATAGCTAACCAAAAATCTACCACAGCTCCTACACCAGCGCCTACACCCGCACCAGCAGAAACCGGCACTTCATCCGCAACCGCCACAGGGGGCGTCTTCTCAGCCTCCATCGAATGCAGCTCCTCCACCACCACCCTAGCCACCTCCTGCCCCATCCAATCCACGGGCAGCGAATCCGGGAAAACCCTCTCATGCTTCGAGACCCAAGTCCCGACGTCAGTCTGCAAGGCCGAAAACATCTGCTCGACGGACAAGGACGGCAACGACCTGTGCATGGTGCGCCATGACACGCTAGACGTCGGCGAGATCATCATAACCGCCTTCCTAGCCACAGTTTTCGGCCTAGGCTTCGCCACCCTTCTATTCTTCTGCTGCCGCGACAAGAGCGCCCAGCGCAAGCGGAAGGCGCAGGCCGAGGCCGCAGCCATCGCCAAGACGGCTTATGCACACGCGGTCGACGAGGAGACCGCCATCCCGCCCAAGCGCGAGCCGAGCGTAGGGCCTGGTGGACAACAAAATCCGTTTACGGATTCTTCTTACACGGACGCTGCGGGTCATGCTCCGAGCCACCACTAGTAACGGTGCGTTGGAGACATGTATTCCCGGAAGCTGGAGCCGAGTCAAATTGAAGGGGAATGCGACGAAAGAGAATCGACGAATGAATCATGTCGTATTATGGAATTAAGCGATGTCGGGTGTGGCGAGGATACGGAAAACAGGACTTTTAGGTTTATGATGTTGCAACTTGCTTAGATACCTCGGGTAACTGGTATTTTCAGACCTACGCTATGTGGTTGTCTTTGTCTTTACTATCATCATGGGGTAATTTCTCCCTCCGCATACCTCCTGTACCCATTGTCTTTTGTTGCCCTTTTATAATGCCCTTCTATGATGCGATGACCATTAGCCTTGGCAGATATAATTGAATTCAGCTATAATGAGCTTTGTATGAATGTTAGCCGTTAAGCTATAAACGGATGTGTTTGTTTTCTCGTAGCCAATACTTGCTCTGTTGTAATCTGCTACAATTTTGCTATGAATGAAGCTCTCCTTGGTTATGACTTCGTATATCGACAGTACACTTACATAACGAGAACCATACCTATGTAGAAGACTTATTGAGGTTCCTACTCACGATTGTGCTCACCATAAAATTAAATGGGTCCAAAACTTCTCGAGAACAATGCATCTGCGACTCATCCAGCATGTGGTCGCACTCTTGTGAAATATTAATTTCGCTAATACTGAACAATAAGCGCTCTAGTATGGATGCTCAACGAGGTTTCCCATTGCATAACAATGACCTGCTTAACGGCCCTAAAAATCGGGGGCGAGAGAAAAGGTAAAAAGCCGTTTCTTCTCGCTCATCTCTGAAGGCATAGACTACTCCCACGTGTTCTGACGACTGTCCCAAGGGATAGTCGACCTATTGGTTACAAACGCGCCGCGACTGCTCACCCAGTAGCGGCCCAAAAGGTACACGATGAGCTCCGAAGAGCCGGACATAGCTCCGGTTCCATGCGGAGAAGAAAATCTCAAAACGAATCCTGGCCTCGAAGTCGGCCCATTATCCACCCCTACCAGTAACAGAATTACTATATTCCTGATTTCTTGAAAACTCTCTGCGAGTGCCTTGATTCCTACGCCGAGGGACCCGCACGACTTGGCGAACCAACTCCTACGATTGGACTGCCGATTTCGCCTGGAGCTCCCAGTATATTTCGCCCCGAAACCGATCCTCTATCAGCTTCAAAGCGGACAGTTAATTTCCCGTCATCGCGAATCCGCACGTCAAAGCTTCCGCCGCCGTTGTGTGAGCTGCCTACGGTTTCGCACATATCTATCAACTCCTCTTCAGAGACGGGGTCGTTTCCTGGTGGATTTATACTGTTCACACGATTCGTAACAGCAAGCAGGTCGACATATCCGTTTGTGTTGGATCCGAGAGCCTGCAGCTCTTTGCATGCGTTCACAAGCATTTGACGAACAGCGACAGGCCGAGGTTGAGAGGTTCGCATACCAGAGGCAGGAGCACCAAACGAGGGATTCATAGGCCATGTAGGGTTAGGGTTGGCGAAACCGGGCGGCGGCGGGGAAAACACGTTTGGGGGACCCCATGTAGTAGTGTTGAGTGGCGAGCCTAAGAATGGGTCCATAAATGGCGCGCTTGGGAATGGAATCCGACCTGGAGCGGCGGTGCCTCGCCGGGGCGAGTTTACAGTTTCTAAAGGTACATCCGTGTCGTCAAGTAAGGCGCTGCTCCCGAGATGATTGCTCACATCATCGATATCGGCTGACAGGTCATGGCTTTTCTGTCCGTGAACTACACTTCCTGGTCTACCAATTGGTGCTGGTCTGCTAATTGGTTGAGATGGACCGCCGGATAGAGAATTCGCGTCAAAAGAAGCAGATGTTTGTCGCGAGTGTGAATGCGGCCGTCCGGATACGCTCTCCGGGGAGAAACCTTGATGAGACATATTCGGCGGAGGCTGCTCTGTCGGGTGATGGAACCCGGGGGGGACATGCGGAGTTATTAGAAAAGATCGACTAGTCATCGGGCTGGCAGCGGGAAAGCCTGGTGGTGTCGGCATTCCACCTACGGGACGGAAATTTAAGTTTCCAGGAGGGGGGAACATTGGTTCGTGCATTCGGTTGAAGCCTGGAGCCACATGTTGAGGTGGTATTCCGGGAGGACCCTGAAGGTTCATAGGCAATCCTGTGAACGGCCCTTGATGTAAACTGGACGGGCTTCTAACTCCCATATGAAGAGGAGATGCTGGATGGGGGACGGGAGTTCCTATATTTACCGGTCCGGTAGATGAAGCCTTTCTAGGGGGGCCGATAGGACCAGGGCTAGTGTGTAGCGGAGTTTGGGTGAGCGGCGACACATTCTGGCTTGGACCGGAAGCGGAGTGAGAAGCCTGAGAAGCTGATCTCGTCACCTCGTGAGATACGGAGCGAGGTTTCATTGGTGTGGGAGCCTTGGGAAGAACGGGAGTCGCAACTGATATTTGAGGCGAGGCGTGATTTGGCGGGAGTTGTTGAGGGAGCACAGGAATCGAGACGGGATGCTGTTTCTTCGCAGGCTGAGTTGGAATAGGGGCTATAGGAGTTGCGGTTTTAGCAGCCGCTTTCTCCTTTTCTTCCTGCTTAGACTTTTCCTTGGCGTCGCGGTCAGCCTTTGCCTGAGCTGCTCTTAGCTCCTTTTCTCTCTTATCCTTCTCATGCTTCTCTCTCCTTTCTCGAGTCTCGCGTTCCTTAAGCTCGCGAGCCTCTTGCTCCTTGCGTCGCTGTTCCTCCTTTAGCTTCTTCTCGCGTTCTTTCGCTTCGCGCGCTTTGCGTTCCTGCTCTAGTTGCTTTTCCTTCAGTTCCTGAGCACGTCGCTGCCGCTCAACCTCCCTTTTTAATCGCTCTTCTTCCTCGGCCTTTTTCTGGGCATCTTTCTTCTTCCGCCTTTCTTCCGCCTTAGATCTGGCTTCCTCAACCTTCCTGGCCTCTTCCGCCAAGCGAGCCGCATCTTCTGCCGCTTTGGCAGCGTCGCGTTTCGCCTTTTCCTCGATCAGCGCTTGCTTTTTCTGTGCCGCCTTGTCTTTCCGTTTCTGTGCTTCCTTTGCCTTCTTGGCCTTTCTTTGGGTTTCTTGGGTTTCTTCTTCTTGGAGCTCTTCAAGAAGCTTCTCTTGACGTTCCCTAGCGACCTTTTCTCGATATGCGGTTAATACTCTCTGCTCGAACATTCGCGCGGCAAATATCTGAAACATTCGGCGGCCTTCTTCCATACGTTGCTCCTCAGTCATAGTGTCCTGTATAAATTTATCAGCCAGAAGGCGCGGCTACGGTGGATGCGCGCTAGCTACCTCTTCCTCTTCATAGTCCTCATCCTGACTATACTCCTCCTCTTCCTCTTCGTCCTCTTCTGACTCGTCATCCTCGAGAGGTGGATGGTTGTGAGGGTTAGGTAAAGATGCGCCGTTAACAGTGTGACTGTATGCACCGGGGTAGTGATCTTTAGCATCTTCCTCGCGTGCCATTCTTCGCTCGGCTAGCTGCTCCATCATTTCTATGAACTTCTTGCCGTCGTTCTTGAGTAGATCGTCTGCTACAGTAAGAATGCCGCCTAAAACATGTTATTCAAACACGCTGGACACACGTATGAATCGGGTTCATATGAAGCAGCTTACCTTTAACAGTGAGACTTTGACCAAAATTAAAGAAATCGTTGGGATATTGGTCGCGAGGGATCTCTTCAGGTTCATCTTCATCCTCATCCTCATCATCCAAACCATCTACGTCACTATACTCCTCTACCTCATCTTCCTCGTCTTCGTCGTTGTCCACGTGTTCCACTATGCGACCATGAGACGGGTGATGGTTCGAAAATCTAGATGGAAGGGCTCCGGGGGGGTGTAATCCGCTCATAGGTCCGAACCTCTTAGGTTCGAACATAGGGGGCGCATTAGGATGGTTGTGAGGTTGATTCGCGAATGATTCCAACTCTTGATAGTATGCATCGTAGAGACCCTCTAATTCTTCTTCGATTGCTGTTCGTTTGCGCCCGCAGACAGAACAGCTGCATGTGTGCTTCTGCTGTTCCTTCATCTTCTTGAGCACCGCGTCTTTCTCAACCTTGACCAAGGATTTTCGTTCTTCCTCTCCCAAGCCCAGCCAGAACTGTTTAATACGTTCTCGCTCCTGTTCGTTTGAGGTGTTCCATATCTTCTCTTTAGATATACCCGAGGGATTATTACTAACAGGCTCCTCGATCGCGCCCTTCTTCTTCTTTTTCTTGGACTTCTTAGAAGGCTTTTGCGCCGAACCGTTGGCAGATTCGGGGGGTTCATCGTCACTTTCGGTTTCATCTCCCCAATCTTCGCCATTGTGCGTGTGGTTGTCGGAGGGAGGGATTTCGCTCGGTAAGATATTCCGGGGGTAGTGCGCGTCCTTTCTCTGCGACTCTGTTCCGATAGGTAAAGGCACGCTACTCGTAGATGCGGGGCTGGGGAGCCCATTTGCTACGGCCTCTGCTTGTTCAGCTGCAGCCTTTGCGGCAGCCTTCGCTCGGCGCTTTTGTTTCTTGCGATTTACCGGTAGCGCGGGGGGCATGTCGGCAGCTGCCGGGATACTGGTCGGAGCACCGCCTCTGGAGGATGAGGTTGTCGTGGGCGATGGCTGGGGCGGAGGAGTAGAACCTGATGACTTGGGAACGGATATATATTTGGTTCCATCCTTGTTTGTGTATTTCGCTGTAGCCTTGGGAGTCGGAGGCTGAGGGCCCTGCGCGGCCGACTGTCGATTGTTGTTTTTGCCAGGCATTCTCAAGGGAGGTTATGACGCGAAAGCGAGGGGAGTCATGTGCGATCTACTCCTAGGAGACAGTCCGAGTTAAACAACTCGCTGACAGGCGTTCACGTATTTGATAGATGTAGATGCAGATTTAATGGTATCACCTAAGTTAAAAGGATGATTAGCTGCTGAATAAGTCGATATTATGATCGATTTGGCGAAGGTGAATCTTAATGAATCGTAGTTGTGCCCCTCTCGAGCAATGCAAATTGGCAACTGTCCGAACCGGAAATAGGTACTGCAATCTACGAGATAGTGGGTTTTTTTGTATCTAACCTTGGCACCGTAAATATGCTAAAGAGTGCAATGCCGACAGGCCTGTCGGAGTGATGGCTGATCACCAGGTGTGAATTATGTTCGGTTGTCAGAGATGTTGCTGTAGTCGGCCAAGGTTTTGAGATGTTGGCGGTTCTTGCGTCTGGCTTTTCCATGCAAAAGACGTCGAAATCTCAGGTAGGCAGGTACTAATGTACAATCTCGAAAAAGATGTAGCTACTTTGGCTTGTGGTACCTCTCTCTACCTCTACGCTAGGTACTCTCTACGCTTATTGGATCGGTTCTTCCAAAACTATGCTAAAACCTTACATGTAGGTACATGATCGCTTAGGTAAGGTATCTTAAGTAAGGCAGGTAAGGCCCTCCCTAAAAGTTACCACAGCCTCATCTCCATCAGCCCCAGTTTTGCCGGTCGGCAACCCGGGGAATAAAGGGAATAAGGGAATCACATGATCTTGAATAACCCCTCCAGGATTTTAGGAAGCTGAGGCAGCCCAAAATTCCCAGCAATAAGGTACGCCAATACAGCACCCTGATGGCTGAAGCTGTAAGTCGTCACTAGTTCCATTAACACAACCCCTTAGGACCCCTTGACCCGGCTCTATTATCTCCCAACGTCCAACAACATTTTATTTAGATACCTACCATACCGGCAAAATGTGGTTTTAAGATATGATATTTAGGGGGTAGAATGATATTCTCCACAGTTACCATTTATTTTATAATAACTATTCCTTTTTTTAAAATAGTATATTAATAAATTTATATAAAAAAATATAATATAAGGAATTATTTTTTATAAAATAATTATTTTCTATTCCGAAACCATTTTTTAACCTATATAATCCATATAATCTATTATAATTCATTATTTATATAATTTTTATATCACATATAAATTATATAACATATTTTATAAATTATTTCCAATTATATAATATATACCTTTAATAAAATACAATAAACTATATTGTAAATTTAAATAATATTCAAATATTTTTTATTTAATTATAGTTTTAATTTAAATATAAAAACTATTATAAATTTTATTATACTTTATTACTTACTTATTTTTACGTAATTATACCCTAATAAAAAAATAAAAGATAGTTTTATATATATCTTTAACAACTTTATTAAAATTATTATTATTATTTTAATTTTCTATAATTAATAAATACTAAATAAATTTATCCTTAATATACTTTTCTACTACCAGCATATATATTTCTTTGTTTACTTCCAAATACGCGTACAATTCTTTTAATTATAAATTCTAAACCTATACAATTTAAATTAAATATCCTATTATAATAAGGATAATAGATTTATCAATAAAATATAAACTAATACAATTAAATTTTATTATAATTTTATAAATATTAAACACCTTTTTGTTTTTAAGCTAAAACTAATAAAGGTTAAATTTACCAAAAATAAAACTAATAGTATTAACCATATCGTTAATTAAATTAAAATTAATATATTAATATATACTTATTATATTCTTTATTAATAACTTTAATATAATTAATATGGATATATGTAATATAATAGATAAATAATATATACCATAAATTTTTTTTAATAAAAATTTTAATAAATTTTAATTTATTAAATTTAATATTAATAATTATAATTATTATAAAAGGTTAAAAAATAATTTATTAGTATATTATTTTAATATAATATATATCGATAATAATTAATTAAATATTAAAAATAAATAAATTTATTTTTAATATAAAATAATAAAAATAAATTTAATTTTAAATAAAAAATTAATTAAAACTAATTAAAATATAAATTTATTTTTAAAAGTTTATAATTATAAAAGGAAATTTTTAAATAAAAATAAAAATTATTATTAATTTTTATTTATAATTACGGTAAGTGTTACGTATATTAAACCTTTTATAAAAAAAAAAAAAATTATTTGCTACTTTTATCTTATATAATCTTTTTATATAAAGCATTTATTTTACTTTTTTATTTCAAGTTTTTATCTTAAATTTAAATCTTTAATTTTTGGTTTAAATTTATTTAATATTTTATTATATATTTAATTTTTAAAATTATTAATAATTAATAATTATGATTTATAATATTTTAAATTTAAACGCTAATGATTTTAATAATTTTAAAATTATTAATAATTAATAAATAATAAATTTAATTTAATAATATTTTAAATATTAAGATTTTATTAATTTTAAAATTTTTAATATAATTAATAATAAAGTGAAATTATATTATATGATTTTTATAAATTATATGTAAATAAAAATTATTTACGTAATAATAGATTTAATAATATTATATATGTTTAATATTATAGATATAAAAAGGTTTATTAATATAAAAATATTATAGTTATAAATAAAATAGTAAATATATAATATAAATGAAATAAAATATAAAAAGGGTGAAGTTATAAAAAGTATAGGAAGTTAGTAAATGTAAAGGATAGGTAGGGTAAGAGGTTGGTGGGTTACAAAAGATAAAATAGGAGGTTAAAAGAATATAAGAAACCGATAAAAAAAGAAGGTAAAGCAAAAGAGTCTAATAAATAAGGGGAGAAATAGAAAAGAAAAAGGGGTATAGGAAGAGGGGAAGGTTAAAGGGAGGGGGATAAGGATGAGGTATAAAAAGAAGAGAAAGTTAAGGGAGAAAGGGGAGGAGGTTAAAGAAGTAAAAAATTTAGCAAAAAATGATTTTAATTATTTAGAAATAGAAATAATAAAATTTTATAAAAAATAAAATGTTAATATAAAATAAAATATTATTTCTATTTAAATAACTTTATTATTTTAATTATATAATATAATAAAAAAAAATATATTAAATAATTTTTATAAAATATTTATTTTAATAATAATAAATTTAATATAAATTAACCTTTTATAAATATTATATAATAGGATTTTTAAAATTATTTATAATTATATTAATATTTTTCTTTTTTTTGTTATAATATTTATTGTTAATATCTTTATAATTTTTAATATTATTTTATTCCTTTATTAATAAATTAATTTAGGTATTTAATTTTTTTAAAATATTTTTTTTTTGGTTTTAACAATAAATGTTTTTATAAATAAGGTTTTTAAAAAATTATAAATTAATATCTTTATTAGGGATAGATTTTTCTTAATATTTATTAATTTAATTAAAAATGTAAATATAATTAATTAAAAATCTTTTTTAATATAAGGTTTTAGGTATGTTTTGATTAAATAATAATAATATATTATTATAATAACCATTTCGATAATTGATTAAAAAAGCAGGCGTAGTAAAATTAAGTTTGATTAATCTTAGTTAATGGCTACCAAATATCTCTTTATTAAATTGGCTGTTATTTAATTAATTATCCAATTGATTATCTAATTAATTAATTAGCTGGTCATTTATTTTATCATTTAATTGGTTATTTATATGGTTATTTGTTTAACCATTTAAATGGTTATTTACCTAACCATCCAAATAGTCATTTACTTGACCATTTGTATAGTCGTCTATCTAACCATTTATCTAATTAACCACAATTTCATTTTTACAAAATTTGGTTATGGCATAAAAATAAATGCCACGTTTATCTTTGCCGAAATAATTTATTATAAGATTATATATTTATTTTTAAGTATTTTCGAATAATTCGGGATTTAAATTATTAAAATTCTTATTATTATTTTTAAAATTAAATGGTTTTATAAATAAATTATTTATAGGAATATATATATATTTCTAATGTATAATTAATATTTAAGATAATAAAAAGTTTTTAATATTTTTATTAAAATTTATAAATTTTTCTATTTTTATTTTTATATTATTTTATTTATTAAATATTGTTATAAATAAAAGTTATATAAAAATATTTAATTTGATATATATAAATTTAGGAATTTTACATATTTTTTTAAATATTTTTTTGATTTTTTTGTATTAGTTTATATTAATATTTTATACCTTTTTTTTAAATTTAAAAGATTATTTAATTTTAGGGTTAAAAACCATCTTTATTTCTATAATATTACATAATTTAATATTAAATACATTTAATATTTACCTAAAATATTAATAAAAAAATCTTTTTTTATTAATAAATATTTGGTAATAATCAATAATTTTATAGGTTTTAAAACTAAAAATATTTTAGAAAATATTTAAATCTATTTTATTTTTAAACTATTTCCGAAAAATGTTTCGGTTATTTTTCAATAATAATGCCTTTTAAAGATAATTTTTTAAAAAATTATAAATATAATTTTATTATTAATTAATATATTTATTAATAAATTATAAATAAATAAATTATATATTTATATAAAATTATTTAAATAAAAATTTATATTTAAGGTTTATAAATAAAAATAAAAAATATATACGAAATATTTTAAACTATTTAAAAGATGGATTTACTTAAAGATATATTTTATAAATAATTTAATAAATTATTAAAAGATTATTAAATATTAAGAAATATTTTTGTAAATAATAGTTATAATTAATTTTAATAATAATAAATTTTTAAGCTGTAAAAGTAATTCTTTCTTTTTTACATAATTTCTAAAAATAAAAAATATTATTATTTAATATTAATATCTTTTTAATATTTTTTTGGATTAAAAATAAAAATCTGTTTAAATATAACTTTAAAAATATCTAAATTTTTTTATTTTTTATAATTT